GTTTTACGTGGCCAGCGTGGCGGAGTAATTATGATCCGGGAATAAACTTATACTATTATAAAGTTCCCGGCGGAGAGCCTGTGCTAGGAGTCTAGGGGGAGAGGGGTTGCCCTTGCCGTACATATTGCATTGTCAGTCCGCGTGGCGAACTTTTGTCCTACCGCAGTACTACTACTATTATTTTCTTTTTGTATTTCCGTTATTACTATTGTGAATAGTAATACCCTCCCAGGATCGTCACAGCTCTTAGACGGCCTTCGCTGCAGGCTTTGCAGGGAGTTGAGCACAAACGTCTAAGCCTCCAGATCTGAAAGCATGAACGTTAGGGTCTCTATAGGGATAATGGAAGATGGAAACTACAATTTTGGTGTTATATAGAAATAGTGGAAAAGAATATGGAAACTACAATTTAAGGGTTATATAGGGATAATGGAAAAGAAAATGGAAACTACAATTTAGGGGTTATATAGGGATAGTGGAAAAGAAAATGGAAACTGCAATTTAGTATCATATGGTATATATTGGCAGTCATGAGAGGGTCGATTCTGACCTTGAACCACTGCAGTTCGTCAGAATCAGAAAGTCCCTAAGCGCTGGGCTGCTGCTGAACATACCACACACACCCACGATGAGGTCGTGCGAGGGATACAGCAGCGACCTCTGCTCTGCAATAATATCTGAGCCATGTATGAACTCATGGTATCCTTTTAGTATCCCCCATAATACTCCCCTATATAATCCCCTACATTACATAGCCCCCTGTGAAGAATTGGGACCCTAGATCCTAAATCTTATATAACCCCCCTCTAAGGAGTTTAGACCTAGATCATATTACGCCTGAAGCTGAGGTCACTGCAGGTGGGCCGTTTGGATCGTTATCAGGGCATGCTTTACTGCCGTCTCCCAGCCTGCATGACAGAGATCTGAACCAACGCCAGTACAATAATAACAGAGATACTAACAATAGTACTAATCATAATAATCGACGTAATGGTAATACCAGTAAGAATAACCATAGTAATGGTAGTTATAGTTTAGTAGTAATAATAATCATAGTGATGATAGTAGTTATAACAATAATGGTAGTAATAACTGCAATAGGTCAAAGAGCCACAGCCATTGGTCATCCACCAAGATCCCGGCACTTCCCTAGCTGATCACGCTTCTCCTCCTCACAGCTTCAGCATTGGGGGCTACGAACTCTGGGGTGCTTTAGCAACTAATAACAATAACGGTAACAATAGCAATAGTGATAATAGTAGTAATGGTAATAGTAATAATAATAGCAAAAGTTCAAGTGAGGATAGTAGTTCTTCTGCTCCTCCAACCCCATGTCTCTGATCTTTTTCATCTGGTACAGAAACTGGCAAGCGACAGACAGTGGAGAGCGTCAATCAACTGACATGGAACTTTCAAGCCAGGCTGGACCTCACACTGAGCTCTGGCAACTTCAACTGGATTGCTGTTAAGGGACTTAATTTGAGTCACTATAGGGGGCGGGTATAATGTGGGGTTTAGGGTTTAGGGTACATCATCCCCCTATAATCCCATAATGGAAAATCAGATGGAAAAGAAAATCGAAAATGAAATGGAGGTTGGGGGAATATAGGGATTTAAGGAACTTAGTTTACGTTACTATGTAGTTGGGGGAACCATATTAATAATTACTATGTATACCCATTAGGGTAACTTAATTTAAGTTCCTTAACAGCAACTCAGTCAAACGCGTCCGGCTGGCCCCAACTATGTTGCAGAATGTAAATATCCTTGGTCAGCAGCCAAAGCAAAAGAGTGCCACAGCACTCCCAAGTCTAGAGCATTACTAGTATATTGTGATATGTTATAATATATTGTACAGTAGTAGATGATAGCGCATTGTAATATATTATAGGTTGTATATTGTATTCTGCCACTATGCCAAACGAGCGATGATGGCTCCACAAGACGAAGTGCGATCAAGAAAGCTCCAGCATCAGGCTTTCAGAGTCTCTAGACTCTGCCACTCTACTCTCTAACGTAGACCCCTTATTAATAAACCCCCCTCCTCAATAGGGATCATTATAGGGATCCTAATAAGAAGGCCCTAAAAAGGAAGGGTTTCATTAATCATGGGTCTACATTAAGTAGGCATGGTAGCTGAACTGGGAGCTGCACTTCAAGCCCAGCTGAATGGTGCCTGTTCCGGCCCTGCCAAAGCAGCTCGCGTTGATGATCCCATCCCCGCACTACTCCCGGAAACTAACATGGAAACCCATATAGTCACCTTTTAGAGGGACTGTAGTCTTTACAGGGCCCTTTTTGGGTTTCCATGTTAGTTTCCGGGAGTGTACACCTCCAGCTAGTTGCGCTATCTAGCACCTAAGGTGCCGCATGTTACACATGAGAGCTCTCTCCCCTCCCCAATAAGTTGGATCCTGACTACCATCCTTCCATTCAGACGCCATAGCATTGAAAGGCAAACGGGACACAAACTATAATAAACTCCAAACAAATCCCTATATAACCCCAATATACCATAGTAGTTTCCATTTTCTTTTCCATTCATTATCCCCAATATAACCCCAATATTGCCTCTTGCCGCCTGACAGAATCTTCCACTGCTTCAGCCTCAGCCAGAACGTTTGTCCACGACACACGCACAAGACGCTACGCTCCGGCTATGCTGCTATGCCATATGAGCTATAGTCTAGACTCCCAGTATCCCCCTGTATGAGACCTTTAGTAGTCCCTAGACAATCCCCGATATTACCCTCTTAAGGAGTTTCAGATTAGATTGTGGCTCATATCATATAATCAAGAACAGGTTGTATGCAATCAACTCACTGCGCTGTGTGTGCCCTGGGGTCTGCACATACCGATATGATCGATCATTAAAAAAGCAGCCAAGGATGCCTCGCACCGGATGCTCATGATAAAAGGGGTTCCCAAAAAGGGTTGTGTAGGGATTATGTAGGGGTTATGTACGGATTATGGAAAAGAACATGGAAGCTGCTATTCAATTCAGGGTTTAGGGTTTCCCAAAATTATGGGTACCTCTCTGTGGGTGCCCATAATACGGATGGTAGTGCTTTGGGGTCTATGTTGGGGTCCCCCTGTTTCGGGAAACCACCAAATAGTCTATTCCTTGAGCTTGCGGACATCTCCACGGGGCTGATAATTTTAGGAAACCCCTAGACCCTAAATAGCAGCTTCCATTTTCTGTTCCATTACCCCTATGTAACCTAGATATAAACCCTATATAACCCTTAAACCGTAAACCATAACCCCTACATGAAGACAACAACTTCAATGGCCAGGCCCATCAGCAATTGGCCCCTCAGTCATCTAGGTACTCCAGTTGTCCATCCCTGCGGCTGCTATTGCTGCAGTTCAATTTGCTAAAAATACCCTACAATGAACTCAGAAACAAGCCACACAGCCCTCTTCATATGGCAGCCAAGCTGTGTCGAAGCCTTCTGCAGCAGCTCAAATAGCCGGTCAACAGGATCCGTAATCTTCAAACACCTCAGCTTCTGCTGAAACAACTTGACTCAGTTGGACAGCACTTTCTTAGAGTCTTACAATGACATGTAGGTTCACGACATGCAGGAGCAAGCCAGCAAGCTGGGATTGCATCCCCAAGCCCATTACAGTTCAGCTTCTGGCTTCAAAAAAGAGCTGGGCTCAGGGCTGTGGCAAGCTCTGTATCACGGGAAACTCCTCCGTTTCATGCTAAGACAAAGAGCAGCGTACGGCAACCTCTCACTCCGTTTTCACGGCACTGGGACTGGCCTTGCACCACCGGTGCGTTCGTCGGGCGCTTGCCAGCTGGACCATGACTGTCCTGTAGCAACTGCAAAGCAACCGAATTGTTACTTCTGGAAGTGTGCTTTGTGCTTGCAGCATCTTGTCCTTGCATGCCCTTCAAGTCTAGCAAGGAGTGTCCCTGCCTTGGAGCTGGCTCTGAGCTTCGAAGGTCTCCGAATGCTTTGAACCCCCACAAGGTGCAGGGACCAAGGTCCCGGCCGTCGGCGCCAGGTACGCTGCACTTCCCACAATGGTTCGTGAAAAATATTGGAAGGTTCTTGCCAGCTTGTCTCGTCCCTGCCGGCATACGAATGGGCGAAGCTGAGCATATGAGCAGCGTTTTTTAGTGGCTAAACCAGGCAAGATTCTATTCCTCATATAAGATACTATACCCCAAAAGGAGGATATAATCTTACTCTATATTGGGTACCATAGTACCCGCAAATAAATACTACTCATATGACCACAACAGCAGCTACGGCCAAGCCTCTGCTTTTGTGAGCAGGGCGTTGAACTCGGCCAGGGAGACGTCCTCAAAGAGGGATCGGTTCATTACCCCCAATATGTACCCTGTAGTGCCTGTATACCCCCTATAGCCTATAACCCCTGTAGTTTCCATTTTCTTTTCCATCATCCCCATCTTCGTGCTACATACCCAGCTGTAAAGACCTTTCACACTAGCGCTTCGCTTCAGTTTCCCCTGCCACCGGTCCGAGAACACCCGGAAGGGCTTCATGAAGGGCTGTAGCATCATTTCGCACATGGCCTCCTGGCGAGCAGTCTGGCTTTCACTCTTCCTCCTCTTCTGGATGAATATAACGCCATGTAACCATAATGTAACCCCAATAGTAAACCCTTAACCCTAAACCCAGTATACCCCAAACCCTACGTAATGTAGTAGTTTCCATATGTTTCCATCTTCTTTTCTGATATCCCTACAACAGGCCTGCACAAGGCCAGTCACTGCACTACGTGACTCGAAGGCCAGGAGGCCGAAAGGGCCAGAACCCGCAAACGCTGCAGCATGGATATAGTATTCTAGTACTGTAGTAATATGGTAATATAGCACTATAATCATTATAGTAAACCTCATGCCTGCAAGTTCCTGCGGCTGATGGATGCTCTTAGCGCATGGAATTTGGCAACGTGCTTAAAACAATTGATTCAGCGGCAAGCGGATTTGTTTTGGCATGGGGTGGGTCAGCACGGCATTCTCAAATGTCAAGGAACTTCATTCGCTTGAAGTCCCCGACCTCATGCCACAAGATATATATGGGGATTATAAGGGAAAAATATTGGGGATTATAGGGTATATATAAGGGGACTATAGGCTATATATATATATATATGGGGATTATAGGATATATATATATATATCTATATGGGAATATATATGGGGATTATAGGGTATATATTGAGGGAGCCAACAAGCATTGGTCCTGGCACCTTGCTGGGTACCCTGCCACGAGGTACTGTGCTGGCAGGGGAGGTGGAGCTGGGCATAACAACCTGGGTTGCTGTTCAGGGTTTAGGGTTTAGGGTTCAGGGTTTAGGGTTTAGGGTTCAGGGTTTTTTTTTATCGGGCCTTTTCTCCCTGCAGTACGAGTCTACAAGGAAATACCATTAAGGCACGGCCCTGACGAAAATGGTTCAAGAGAACTCTCCAGTCAGCCCTTCCAGGTGGAGAACATGGGTTCAGGGTTTAGGGTTTAGGGTTTAGGGATTATCCCCCTATAATGGAAAATCAAATGGAAAAGAAAATGGAAAATGAAATGGAAACTGGGGAATATAGGGATTTATGGAACATAAATTAAGTTACTATATTGGGGAAACCCTATTATTTGCAAAACATACCCATTATGGTAACTTAATTTAAGTTCCTTAACAGCAACCCAGCAACTGCAGAGCTGCATCCTCGACCTGCAAGGCGCTGATTTCTGCATTGCAATGCTTCAGATGGCATGATTAAGTTCATCTTGTCTTTCATCGCCCTCTGAAGCTGGAGCTCTCATCTTGTCTGCGTTTTGTTCACTCGCAGAACAAGGCCTTCGTCACCAGGACAAGGCCGCACGTCGGTGCAAACAACACCTGATTGCAGCCGCCAGTATTTTGCACTTTGCATGCTTTGCTCAAGATAAAGTGTTCAACAAGTTGGCGGCCTCATTCATGCTGTTTGCACGTACCTGGCCGAATCATGAGGCTTAAATCTATCTTTCAAGGTTGCTGTCAGGTCTTGTCGCACCACCCCCAAAAGCGCATTCTCCAGATCTGCCGGCTGCCCGCTGAAGGGACGGACCTCAGGTTGAAAGAAAGCTCCGGGCAGCGCCGTTAGCACAGGCAATCTTTCCTTTCGTGGCGGCTTTGGCAGCAAGCGCAGTGCACAACACAAGTGCGTGTGCCTGACTTGAACACGTCGGATAGCCTACGCTGTCTAAACTACGACTGAGGATGAGGCATCAGGATCCTTCTTGAGGGTCAGGGCGACTTAGTAATAATGGGGATAATTGGGGTTACTATATGGGTTCTAGGGGGTCTTAACCTACTTACTCAGTTCCCCTGACCCTCCAAGCAGCCTTCGTGCAGCAGTGACATGTCAAAGTTTCAGGGAGCCTCATCCCTTCACCCCTTCAGGGAGGAAGCCTTTTCATGGCCTTTGGTAAGCTAGGAATGAAGGAATGGATCCGTATAGTAGTCCCTATATAAACCACTATGGTGGTTTCCATATTCTTTTCCATTCCTTCATTCCAGCTAACCAAAGGCCAGTTTCCTTCTGCCGCGTGTGCGTGCAGTTCTGGTAGAAACAGGCAGGCTTTCGCTCAAGACTGCTCAAACGGCTTCTGCGGAGGGCTCGGGGAAAAACCCTCCATTCACCTCAGTCGCCAGCAGTCGGGCTCACTTCATCTTGCTTCCCAGCTGGAGTCATCCTAAAGCCCTTGTAATTATCAGTGGTGTACACCTGCATCCAAGTTGCTGTTCGAACGTAGGAACGGCGCGAGACTTGAGAGACTTGGTGTAGCTTGTCAGCCAACTCCGGCTGAGATTTCCATTGCTTCACATTCAAGATGCCAAAGCCTGGCAAGAGCGGGCAGATATGGGAAAGTGAGGCTATGCATGTGTCATGCGGTTATGTTGTCCCAAGCGCCTGGGAAGCCGGTGCGGATCCCAGAGGAGGACCAAGGGCTGGCCCCCAGAGGATCTAGGATATCGCGCCCTGCTGGCATCCACGAGGGCACGGTCTCCTTGCCTGCACTCGAGAGAACTGTCGCTTAGGCCATGGATCAGAATTATGTGGTGATGCCTTCTTCCTGGAGCCTGTCGGGGAGCACCTTGAGAACTCTGGCCCGGTCAGTTTTACCACCGACATCGACGTAGATGCGGCCAAACTCGTCGGGCCTGTCCTGGACCACAAGCGTTTGGTGCAGACAAGGAACGTTTGGCAGCGCATGCCAGGGTCCCAGCTGCAACGACTGTGCCTAGCATGCCGTTGAGATCCTCGCGCGAAGCGCTGCTCTGGCATGGACATTCATGGACCGGTGCACACAGGCTCCTTTCGGTGCGCCATGCCCTGCAACCGGACAGCAGCCCCACGACGCAGACCGAGCTCCTCACAGCAAGTACTAGAAATATCACGGTCATGCTCATCAGCTACGGGTGCTTTCAAATGTTGTGTGAGCATATTCCCTTCACAACGATATTTCTGACATCAGCCCAGACCATGTCACCACAGCGCCTGCGAGCTGTTGGCCAAAGCTGGGCGTCGTGGATTGTAAAAGTTGGGACCTTGGAAGGGAAGGCACGGCTGCAGCATGCTGCAGCGAACCCTCCGCGGCTGTGAGATCCTGACCATCTCCGCTCTTGGTCGTGCAGAAGGAGCGGAAGGTGATGTGCTCTCGCCCTGCGGTCTCCTGAAAGCCATCATTCAACCAAGAGGAGGAGGAGGAGGAGGAGGACGAGGAGGACTGGTTTGTCGCATCACCAAGTCAACGGAGTCCTTGAGTGCAAGCGACTGGCGGGTGGGGTCCCGCTTATTGTACGGTTCGCTGAAGTCATAGCGCGGCATGGCTCCGCGGCTACTGAACGCTAAGGCAGCTATCAGAGGATCAGAGCATGGAGATATCCACTGAGGAGGGCATGCTAAGAGCAGGCTTGGGTCCAATCCTTCCTCACGCATGGCCTGCACATCGCATGAACGAACGTGCTGTTGTATGCTGTTGTCATTCATTGCAGCATATTGCAGCTAAAGTGGCTAGGCGTGGGCGAGCCATGGCAAACCCGCCAAATGCAAAGAAGCACCAAACTTTGACTGCTGGCAGCTTCAGCAATGGCAAGCGCAAGTGACGCAAGTGGGTAGCGGGCAATGAAGTCAACAGACTTCTGTGCCTCCTGCCGCCCAGACTGTCAATCATGGGCACAAAAAAGAGTCTTGCACTTCCGCTCAATGCCTACAGGCACCAGCCCCAAAGTGCAGGTCCTTGCCATGTGGCAACATAGAGGCAGACAGCGTGGCCGTCTCGATCTGTACTAGCTGCACCTGCTGCCATCACGTGACGTGGGAGACTTAAATCTTCTGCCTCTGCATTCTCTAACACCATCCGTTTGGGTGGCACGTCACTGAGGTCGACCAGCACTGAGAAGGGGCTAAAGTCTCGCATCACCTGGCCGAAGCACAGCTGCATGGTGCCAAGATACAACAAAATTGAAGTGTGTGGCAGCGACACCCCGTGAAAGTAGTCCCGCACTCTCAGCGCCTTAGGCTTCTCTGTCACACCAGCCGTCGTAAGGAATGTGGATCCTGCAAGGTCCGAGCGCGCAGGAAGCGGATGCGCTTGTTGGCGGCTTGGACTACTCCTCCGGCCTGATCAGGGGCAAATTACGCTGACAGAGTTGCGACGCGTCACGTTTGGCCCACGCCTTCGGCAGAAGGACTACCTCAACTTTGGGCACGCCGTTAACCTTCGGACACCCTGCAAACCTCGGATGAGGCAAGGACAACTACATACAGTGCCAGTGAGGATGCCGCTCAAACAGCTTGGGGAAGTCTCCCGCTCAGTCTCACTTTAGAGGATGCCAGTTCGCAGGCATGCCGCAAGAGATCTACAGACTCAGCAGAACAAGGATGCTACAGGACCAGTACGTCACTCTGTCAGCATAAACTGGCGTTGAGCTTGTTGCGACATAGGCTGACAAAAGCAACATGCTGCCGCTTGTCGACAGTGAGGCATTCATTGGGCTTCACATGATTTCCATGGCCTATGCGGGCTGCCGCCCGTCTACCGTCTGGGCATCTCCATCTGCTTCCACTGAGCCGCTGGCGTCCTGCAGAGGGCCGCGTGGAGAGCTTCGCTGTCCAGGACCAAGACAACATCGATCTCGGCATGGATAGCAGGCGTGTTCCACAAAATAAACGGCAAGGATGCGGCGAAATTCGGGATTCACTTCGTGCAACAGCTAGTAGCCGGCAAGCCCCAAGAAGGGAGAGATGTGGGAGGGGCGTCCACAACCTCGCAATGGTCTGGTTACTTACTCCCACCTCGAACATCTCTATGATCTTCTGCAGCAGCGCCTGGGAACAGGAGGGAGTGGAGAGCTAAGTTTATTCTGTAAGAAGTTCGTGCTGGGCTTGTTGGGTTAGACAGAACACCTGACCTATTCTTCAAACAGCTCTCAACAGTCTCAACAACATGTCAGCACGCAGCTTTGAAAGGAAGAGCCCTTGCCACACAGGGTGCACCCAATTCAGATGCTTGGACGCTGACTGGAGTGGGCTGGAACGGCGCATTGACAACTAAGCCGGATGAGCTCGTCCGGGCGCCCTGGCATGGCCACATGCGTCAGAACAGTCACTCGGGGCACAGGGTCCAAGACCTTTTGGAAGGTAAATGGCCGCAGCAATGCGTGCTGTTGTTGATCCCAACCCTGCCTCTCTGGAGGTGGCATTCGAAAGCCTTAAAGCACATGTGATTCAGTTGCAGAAAAATGCAGCTTTGATGACATGCCACTGCGGAACATATCAAGGCTGCGGCTTTGCAGACACCACTCGGCTAAGATGAGAAACCACACGCTGATACCAGCTCTCGTTCTCACCTGCTTTGAGCACCAAAGGTGAGTGAGTGGCTACCCACGCTTGTAAATCTTCTTGGAATACTGCAAAGCTTGGAACCGGGCTCCAGTCCAAGTGCCCATAAAAGTAGGCGATGCGATTCAGTGGCTCCTCACATGTTCACGATGATTTTACGTATGTGCATGTACGAGGACTTGGCAGCACTGGTGACAGGGCCTCGTCAGCTCCATGCTCCACCGTCATGGCAGTCACGCAAAACGGTACGCTCTGGCAAGGGCAGGGCTTGTCATGTGCGCCACAGAAGCATACTTTCTTTGAACAGGCCTGGAGCTGGCGGATGTGGGAGTAACGCGTGTCCAGGTCAACGAAGACAGGAGTGTGCTCCTGGCGGCTTCCGGAATCTTCCGATGCCAGGAATTTGCAAGTCCCATTGACAAACATGCCAGCGAGACCCGTCTCAGCGCGTAGTTGCAGAGAATCTTCCAAGGGCGACGCAGATTGGGTAGAACGAGCGAGTGGTGTGAACTTGCTCCCAGGTCTATGCATTATGTGCCTGACACAGCGAGCTCTTCCCAGAGAAAGCGCTGCCACACACCTTCGCACTTCAAAGTCTGTGAAAATGAGCCGCATCTGCATTTCTTTGATAAATTCTGCATCTGGAACATGGATGTGCTTTTGCTGGGGGCCCACTTTGGCTGAAAGTAAGCCTTCAAAGTTTTGACAGGGGTGCAAAGTGGCCGGCATCAAGAGCGTCGCTGCTAAGTTCCCACAAAGGACGAGATGTATTCAGAGAGAACTAAAATAACAAAGCATCCTTACAGGATCTGGCTACCAATGCTCGGGCCAGCGTCTCGGAATATGGGAAGCTGTGTATAAGACTCACCTCTCATTTGCGATCGGGGACTACCCTTTCCTATATGCAAAATGTAAATGTCTAATGCCAGAATTTGAAACAGGAGGATGGCGAACTCCCGTGGCTCCTTCGCTTCTGCTTCGGCCATCTTTTCTTGGCTGCGGGGTGGGTGCGGGAAGGCTGGCGCTTTTGCTTCAGATGTTGCTTGGCTTCTGCTTGTTGAACCTGTGGGAGCTTTCACAGAGAGCCCCAGAGGAAGTCCATGAGAAACGACATTTATCAGTAAGGCCCACCTTGTTGAGCACTACAAAGTAACCACAGACACTCCGAGGCTGCTGCTAGGACCCGCGGTGCAGGGAGGCCCAGATCATCGGCTCGCATGCGGCGCTGTTCCAGGACTGCCTGAGCTTCATGTCTACCAGGCTGCGAACATGTGACGACAGTCTCCTGTTCTAGCCCGGCTTTACACTTTCGACAATTGTCCTCTTCATGATGTTGTCCACACATTTGTTGCTAATACTTCTTGAAGAAGGTCTTGATTGAAAGTGCGGAGCCACAAGCAGAAATGGGGCTGCTACATCACGTGCGGGGATTGCCCTTGAAAAGCTGTTGGAGTGGGAGACTAACTGAGCACAGGACTGCACAGCACAGGTAGTCGCGCATCACAACATTTGGAGCGTCGTACTCCTGCACTGTGGGGCCAGACACCTGCACACGAAACACAGGGCTCTCCCACAATCCCACATTGCATGACACTTCACAACTTCAATAGTAGAACTGGCTCCATGCCTGGACTTTGCATCCATGCCACGTGTATATGGCCGTGCGGGACCCGCCGAGCAGCGGATAGTCCTAAGGCCAGCGTGCACTCAACAGCATGTCCCTTGCCAACATACCACTTCAACACAAAGACAAGCGCCCTGCACGAAACAAACACCAAGAAAACTGTCGAACAGTAGGTCTGCATGTGCATGTGCCATATGTGCCCAGCCTGGCCAGCCACCAGCTCAGCTCCGAAGATTTCCGCGCTGGTCTCAGCCTGAGTTTGGGGTCTCGTTCTCGTTGAGGTTTCATGGGATTGGAAGTGCTCTCAGAGGCGGACAGGCTGTCCAGGCCGTGGGTTTGGTACCTGCTCGGGCAGCAGCTTCACCTCGTCAGGTCTGTTCCAAACCACCGGGCACTGCCAGGTACAGCAAGAAATAAAATCCCACCCGTGCATGCTTGTCATCATCGACAATCAGGCGGAGCTCGCAGCCAGGCGCCAGGACCTTCAAAACCAATACGCAGCACGAAATTCACGAAGCACACCTTGGCGCAAAATGGCCTTGACCCGCGGAGCGGTCGGGTCCAGTGCCATAAGTTGATCGCCCACAGGGGGCGAGTACACCTCCCAAAGTTCATGTTGAGCCAGACTTCGGGTACGGCTTAGATCCATTCACAACCCGGCCTGCGGCGCCCCCAAAACGATCGCCATGGCATCTAATGCAGAAAGCAATGGGGACTGTTGGTTTTCTTGTAGGCTGCCATGCAGCTGGCAACCCCGCCTGAGTTCTCAGTTTTTGGATACCTCTGCTCCCAAGAATGGACACGGAGCTTGTTCAGCTTTAACGAGGGCCAGCTAGCTATCACACGGGCCATCGTGTTGAATTGCATGCCCAACCAGTCAACTGGACTTTTCTTGCAACATCTACGGGTCATGCTGTTCATCCTATCTACTACTAGATGGGCAGGCGGCGATGAAGCAGCTTCTTGCTCCCAGACACTGCAAGCCACGAAGTGACAATATAGTCCCTGTAGCTTCCATTTTCTTTTCCATTATCCCTAAGCCCAAAATAACCCCTATATAAGCCCCATATAACTCCTATATAACCCCTATATAACCCCTATATAACCCCCATATAACCCCTATAGAACCCCTATGATCCCTGTAGTTTCCATTTTCTTTTCCACAGGCAGCTGCCTAGTCGCAGGGGTTTTTCTTCCGAGCCAAGAGCTGAGACGAACTCCGCGCAAGGGGAGCTGACGTTAACCGAGCCAGGCAGCCAATGTTGAGCTGTCTTGACCTTAGCCAGTCATGGTTTAGGGTTTAGGGTTTTAGGGTTTAGGGTTTAGCGTTTAGGGTTCAGGGTTTGGAAGATTCGAGCAGTGACCTTCATCGCTTGCAGCAAGCAGGTGAATGGGAAGCCGCATCTTTCCGACGATGCATGACTGGACCGTCCACTCCGGGAAACTGCTGACATTTGCCAGCAAGCGGCGGGAACCGGAAACCCGTAGCTGCGGGTCAGCTGGAGACGGTAATTAAACTGGGTTACTCTTCAAGAACTTTGCTAGATCAATAATGAATTTTGTGTTTACTAATTCAGTAATTATTTAAATAGAGAATACCAAAAAAGAAGGACTCCCTTGGATTTACTTTGCTATATATCCATAAAATGGTAACAAGTTCCTTTTCAGCAACCCAGCAAAAGCCGCCATGACGACTTAATCGGTGGCAACAAGCGCGTCTCACGGCTCTTAGCCGGAAAGAGATGGAAAGATCCATCAGTTATTTAGGCATATATATATATATGTATATGTATATATGGGGTTATTCATATATATATATATACGTGGGGGTCGTACAGGACTATACACATATATATATATACATATATATATATATGTAGTACTTGGGGGGTTAACCTCATTGAGTCTTCTTCTTGTCCTTCTTCAGTCCTGCCGCCGCTTCCTCCAAGATTTTCTGCATCTTGGCAAAATCGCGGTCCTTCACCTTTCCCACCTGAGGCACCATTTTCTAGCCCAGCTGGACCGTAAGTAATATTGGGGTTCTATTTGGGTTATATAGGGGCTATATGGGGGTTTTCCAAAATTAGGGGTACCTTTTTGGGGATAAAAATGATGAAGACTGTAGCATTTTGGAGTCTATATTGGGGTCTCCCTATTTTAGGAAACTGCCATATAAGGGTTATACTAAACACGAAACCCAGGCCTGCGACTGGATGGCTGCTATGGCCGCTCCAAGCGTGGCAGCGTTAGCACTGAGCTGTGCGATCCAGGCATCTGGTCCCAGGAAAAGCATCACACCAACCAGTAGGAAGGCGCCCACGCCTACCCACTTGTCTTTCCAGTGGTTCCGAAATTGCCCTTCTACAGATTATGGCCTGTTTCATACTAGGTACAGTAGAAGCTCCTGGGTTGAGGTTACAGGTCTGTCGCTTGACCCCGCCCGGCCTAGAAACACCAGCACGGCTTCGACTTGCAGCAGAAGCAACTGCCCACGGCTGAGTCCAAGGAGTACCAAGAGGTGATCCTCGATATCTTTCAGATCCTTAGACTGAACCCTGGTCACTTGCGTACTTGCAATTCTGGTCCCTACCTGGCTGCAAGCAGGTGCGTCTAGCAGTCAATCAGTGCTGATCTGCCGTGAGGGTTGCATCGGGCCTCTCAGGCTGTTTGCCACGTGCGCTTTTGACCTTCATCCTGTTCTTTTGCGGCCTCTCCCTGACAAGTTTGTGCGAGACAATTCCCCTTGTCGGGTCTCTCGCCCCTCCATTCCCAAATTTCCCAGGCCTTGCTGAGGCCTCCGAAAAAATAGGGTTTAATCTTCAGTGGTGCCATGCGGCCTCTGTTTTGCAAACACATGGGAGAGGTGTTGACCGGAACAGCTTTTACTTCTATGGACTCTATGGCGAATCGAAATGGTGGCGTCAACTAAGAAACCTTACAGCTGTTCTGAGGTGAATTCCGCCAAGCAACCTGGCTGATGTTGGCGTCTGCTTCCCCATGGTCGGGTTTCTCGTCGTCTTTTGTGGCCGACTCATCAGGGACATCGGCAAACTCTTTTTCCAGCTCAATCAGCTCCTGTAGATTAAGTCAATAATAACCCTAAGGGTCCAAGGACCCAAATAATAGGGCTTTAGGTCCAAAATACCATTATCATCATTATTATTATTAGTGTTATTATAGAATTTGGGTCTCAAGTCAATACAGCCCTATACTTTCTCTCAAGAGAACCTGAGCTCCGTGCCTCCTTGGATTTGTGCACCAGATCTTGGACCCAGGCCTGCTTGGGCAACAAGTGATCCAGAATGCTTCAGTCCTGCTTCAGGTAGCCCGGACCTTGGCCTTTACTACAACCTGCTTCATCTGAACGGTCACAAGCTGCGAAACCTTGGAACAAATCAACAAATGCAAATGAAATGGCACGGAAGCATGGCACCTCTGTGCATTGCAGCTGCGGAACACAGCAGGCACTGGCCAACATAGCCAGCACGGGCGCCATGACAGCTGGCTTCAGGAGTGCAGACAGGGCCACGAAGAGCAAAACCAACAAAACGTAGCCTTGGGAAGGCGCAAGGGAACCAGGAGGAAGTCTCAGAGTCCTTATCTTACTGGTGGTTAGTAGGGGATAAACGGAAACAATCCCCTTATAATTCCCACACAATATATTCCCTTGTTCCCTACTAACCCCCCATAAGATGCTATGATCTACAGGGAAGCCCAGCTGAACACGGGTTCCATGCAACGCATCTTGGAATGACCGGCCCTGGACTGGAGGTTGCTCTTGCGGAACTCAATTTAAGTGGGTGGTTGTCAAAATTATGGTCCCTTTTGGGGTCCCTATTATAATACAGCCCCTAATATTTAGGGTACCCAAAAAGGGACCATAATTTTGACAACCACCCAAGTTGGTTCAGGGTTTAGCAGAATTTAGGGTTTAGGGTACCGTATTATGGGTAATAAATAGTGAATGGGCTTTCCTTGTTATAGTCAGTTCCTGAACAGCAACCCATCCTTTTGCAACAGCTGGAAGCTTTGCAACACATGCAACACTGCTGCCTCAAGAACGACTGAAATTTCCTTCTGAAACAGCCGGAAGCCAGACCACAAAACGGAGACAGAGAATAAGACTCTGGGCTCTAGGATTATTTGCAGGCTGCAAGTTGAGCAGCAACTTAATTCCGTTGCCTTTCTGCCCTGTGCTGAAAGGGTGACGCCTCCGAATACAATACTTCTTCGGCAAAAGCTTTCAAGCTTAAAATATGCCGGAACAGTTCCTAAGCAAAGGCGAGTCACTCAGACACAGAGCCACCCCGAGCACCATGGAGCTGCAGATCAAGAGGACATAGATCCAGCTGTTTCCAACTTTCAACAGCGCAAGGTGTCGACCTCGAGCAGGGGCCGCGCCGGTGACCCACCTCACCTGCCTTGGCTTCAAGCGCTTGGTATGCTTCGACATGCGTTTACTGGATCTCAGACTACATTCCACACATTTCCATGTTTGCTTGAGCGCTCAGTTCGCAAGACATACTCGAAGAGCGTGTTGATCAAAAGCAGCACGTCCATTATGATGGCAGCGATGAGAAGACCCGAAGAAAGGCCAGGGTTGACTACAAAGCACTCACCGTGCAGGTAGTCCGTGAACGAGCACAGCTGCTTCGCCATCTCCTGATCGGGAAACCAGAGCAAGAACCTAGCAAAAGACAGTCTTGAATTCTCTCCTCTTCATAGAGCCAATGGTGATAAGCAGCGGCCCTTGGCTGAATCAGCTCCAATGCAAGAAATTCGGGAGGCCCTGCCAGCATGATCCTCTGTTAACGGCAACTTAAGCGGAACACGCAAATGGCAGCACCAGAAGTTGCATTGCTACCTGAGCTCAAACAAATCTAAAGCATCATTGCTCTCGTGCACACGAGCAAAAATTGGGAAATATATGGATGATATTGGGGTTATTATGGGATAATGGAAAATAAAATCGAAACTGCTCTATTGGGGTTATGCAGGGATCTGTACCATGGTGCTATTCTCTGGGCATGACTGAACAGCCTGGGCACAAACTGCACCATCACAAGCTTGCACAGGTCCATGGAGCCAAGGTCCTGTTCAGAGAACCCTTCACAGTCACATAGCAAACTTGTGGGATCCCATGGCACAGCTCAAGGGTCAACCTCTCCTTGAAGCCAGCCGGCACTCTAAAGAAGAGGTACTCCAGAATGGAGAGGGCTCCAGCCGACTGCGCCTGAAACACATAGGTGGTTGTCAAAATTATGGTCCCTTTTTGGGTCCCTAACGGCACCTAATATTTAGGGTACCCAAAAAAAGGACCATAATTTTGACAACCACCCACATCTCTTCAGACCTAGCCTGTTTTGAAACGGTGCCTGCCTCCATCTCCAACACCTTCTGCGCTTCCTCAGCACCTGTTGTGGTGTCGTGTGACGTGATGGGCATGGATGGATGCTGGAAAGACCAAGTGCCAACAGCGCTGAAACCCTGCCTTCGTGCACTTGGACGGTGTCAGTTTTCTCTGCATCTCTGGATTTCTTGTGCAGCAGCCTGCTCTTCACTCTTCTGAACCTGCATAGCAAAATGAAAGCAAGGCTTGCTCGGATACGTTGCAAGGAGTGACAAGAGCAAAATGGAACAACATGGGCAATGCATGTTCTCGGCCGACCCTGGTTGGGCTGCATTTGCTAGGCATTTCAGGGCTGCAGATTCCTATCACTGCGTGAACGGTGCTCTGGACCGAGAGCGCCTTCCCTTCTCAAGGTGGTAGATCATGAAGAAGACCTGCCTGAATTCTCCACAGCTGATGCTCAAGCTTCCCTGGCACTTGGAAATGCCATGCAATACACAATGACATTTTGCCACAAATGCATTCATCCACAAATCAGAGGACGGTAAGAAGCTCATCAAGGCACGACCCAAACACAGCGCCCATAATCGCCAAGAAGAAGATTGCCTTTCCCAGCGTTCACACTTCAGGCTTTTCATCCCAGGCAGAGGCTGCTCGCAAAACGCTGAAGGCTCAGTCTCCGACTATCAGAAATAGCAAGCCAAGCAAACCACGGAGAAAAGAAGGATTGTTTTGCACCTGCCTGAGCTCTTGCGAAGGCTGTTGCGATCCATTCTCGCTACACGAATTCAACCAGTCAAGGAACCGAACGTATTTTCCACGTGTCAATGAGAAAGTCTCCACCACACCATCAGCAAAGGAGGGGAAAAAGACCTCCGTCTTGTTCTCTTGCTTGCCCTGGCACTGCAATCCGTGATGCACATGCACGAACGGCCATCTGTCCAGTTGGTACAGTAGTTTCCATAAACAAGGGGATCCCAAAATAGCTCCTAAAAATACTCCACTCCATGTCGTGGGGACCCCCAAAACCCCAAAAAAAGTACCCTAATTTTGGGAAGCCCCAATTTAATCTCCTGGCCTCAATATACAGAACTTGGCTGTTTGGTACTGTGGGAGCCAGCAGAGCGCTTGGAAGGCTTTGCAGCAGAGCTTTCAAGCTGTCTTCCAGGGCCATGACCCGCAGGCTCTGGGCAGTGGGTTCCTCAAGCAAGTTAGCTACTTCCTCGGGTGGACTTCCTTCATGTACTGTGAACATTCTTTCGGAAGTGGATTGTTTTCTTCGTAGAAGAAGGGGCTCAATCTTTGTAATATTGTAACAGAATTGGGCATTTATGAAATAAAGGGATCATCTCTTCTACCGCGCTATTCACTAAAATTAGATAGATGCATAAACTAGATAATTTGAAGAGTGTTGTTATCAGTAGGAGGTAGAGTTTCAGAAAATATTTTCTCCGCGCAGGCAAGGGGGTTGAGGCTGTTGAGTAGAATCCCTTGATTGAGAAACTCATGTGGAAACTCACTTTTCAAAACAAAGGCTTCGTGGTATCAGAAATGCGAGAGGCTGAAGGAAAGTGGCCACACACATAAGAGCTCCGCTTTATTTTGAAACCTATGTGAGAATGCCTTTGAATTGTGAAACAAAAGTTTCGTGGTATGAGAAATGCGATAGTTTGGAAGTGCCATATTTAAAAGGAAAGTGGCCAAATAGACCCTAAAGGTTTTGGCCATGTATACATGTAGGGGATACGTATTCGTAGTGGGACTATATATATATATATACCCACACCTAGACTAGAGGGATATGGGTGGATAACAAAATTATGGTCCCTTTTTGGGTCCCTATTATAATACGGCACCTAATATTTAGGGTACCCAAAAAGGGACCACAATATTGACAACCACCCATATGCAATATTGGTGGGACTATAGTACCACATGAAAATATACCTGTATTAAGGGGGGGCTACTTGATACTAGTGGGGCTCTACATATATATACACTTATGTTACTTGGGATACTTACTACCCCTCCCTACAGTCCTGGTCTGCACAGTCAGAGGTCTGCACCAGAAGACGCTGCTCCTTCTTCGGGCACAAGACAGTAACTGATTGTGCTATGATGTGTGTACTGTACACGACTCAGCTAGCCAGTAGCTGGCGCCTCAGTGAGGCAAAGGCCGGAATTGATCAAAGCCGCGTGCCGGACTGTTTCGGGAGCCTTCAGTCAGACTTCGAAGTTCCAAGAAGTGTCGCCTGAAATGAGAAAAGAATATAATCTGGGTGCCGAACATAAATCCCAGCCGTGAAAACTGGGAATAGCAACAGCGGAAACCACATCATCGTGGTGCCATAGCGCGAGTAGATCCAGGAGCCTGCTTAGCACCCAAACCAGCAAAATCTGGACCTGAAGGAGTCTCGTTTTGGCCGCGCCTCTTGAGTTCATGTCTTGCAGAAAGTTTCCCAATGCGGGACCAACTACATGCAGCCTCACAGGTAAAAGACGCCAAGCGTTCAACAGAGAACACGCTCGACGGAAGTGAATTCTGCTGCCATGCAGCCGTAGAGTTTCTATCTGCTGATCTGCCATCATCTGTGCCCAATTCTGAAAGCCTGGGCAGCTTGACAAAGCAGTTCAGGAGCATGACTTTGAACACGTCCATTGAGTCTTCAACTTGCTGTCTAGAGACCTGGTCCAAGCTGGACAACTTGCTGGCCCTTGAGGGTGTCAAGGGTGTTGTTGCAGCTTCGTTCCGACCTTTACGCACCCATATGTCCAGAACCCGTCGCTCCGCTTGTCAAATTAGAGCGGCTTGCAACCAAGTAGCCGGACAACACCATGTGACACAAACAGGCGATTGTCTGCGGCTTTGACGTCACGAGTCACGCTCACAGAGCGATAGGAAGGGCCTGAGACATATGAACAAAGTCAAAACGTCCTGGTGTGCCATTGGCCATGCATATCTAGATAAGGCGATAAGGACAAGGCCATTCCCGAATCGATATGTCTGCTGCGCAGTGCCTTTCTTCAGCAGAGTCACATTGCCTGCTTGAGGCACCTTGGCACAAAGGTCAACCAGTGACATCAGGGTGCTACAGATGACATGCATGAAAACGGAAAGTCTCGGTGATCTTCCTATAATCCCCTGTGTATCCCAGTTTCCATTTCATTGTTCATTTTCTTTTCCATTTGATTCTCCATTATTGGGGTAGTATATAACCCTAAATCCTATATTACCCCAATATCATATTGCAGCCGCGGTGCGCCCGATGCAGAGGACATGCAGAGGTCAGCCTTTGCTTCGCTCTGCACCAGCAGGTCATCATCAACGCCATCTGACACAGACCTTCATTCCATATTGGGTTTAAATTGGGATAATGGAAAAGAAAATGGAAACTACTATAGTATATTGGGGTTATATTGGGGTTCAGGTGCAGGTACTGCTGGGGCCGTTTCAGGTCTCAAGATTGTATGGCTCAAGAACAAAGGGGAAGGACCCCCCCCCATGAGAAGGAAGTCCTCCGCAGAAAATGCAGGTGGAAATGCGCCCAAAGGACTATTCACACAGAAACTTTGGAGGCGTCTCTCACTCTGAATGCAACGTGGACAACTTTTCTTGGCCCCATTTCATCAATTCCTGTCACAGATGTAGCCCAACAGCATTAGCAAGAAAGGACCATGGGATTATTCTGGCGTTTTCAACTGCTGCACGATAATCGTTTTTGGGATCCAGGGAAAAAACAGCGACGGACACGGAAGCCCTGAAAGAGTCCCAAGGTGTCCGGGGATTGCACAGCACACTTGCATTGATGCTGAACTCTTTCCGGCCCCCGTGACTACTCAGAAAATGCCAAACTTGCGGATTGTTCAAAAGGCTGCGCATTGAGCTCGTTCTTTTAGATGACGGATTTGATGAATCATGCTGAGTCAAGCCTTGAGGATTCGGCTTCAGCTTGATTTGCAACGAGGCGAAGTAATGGCTGACATAGTTTGTGCAGAAGACACGCCTGTTCTCGCTTCGTACATCACCATGAGCAAACAGGTAGCAAATGCTGGTGGTCCAAAGGAACAAACTTTTTTGCGCAACTCATCCAGAGGAGGAGCCTGTCAAACCTGAGAACTGTGATCAGCCACAGAGGTTTACTAGCAGATGAGCTATTGCCTAAACTCCTAGGATCCCCCTTCATAGCCCCTATAATACTCCCCTAAATAAGCCCTTATCTTACGCCCTTGACATGGCCACGGCAGATTTCCGCGAATGACAAACGGCATGGAGAATTTCCTCACGACTATGTTGCAGATGAGAACTCCCGATCTGAACAACACTCGGTGAACTCAAACTCCAGCTCTGTATGCTATTGGGGTTATATTGGGGTTGTATGGGGATAATGGAAGATAAAATGGACACTAGTATTTGGGGTTTAGGTGATTGACGGATTTCGGAAGCAGCTCAAGAAGCGTTGCGAGAGCAGTCTCCCGCACTTCTTTCACGAATATGGAATGATAAACCCCTGCTTAGAGCTGATAGCCATGCCACCAAGGATCTTGGTATATGGGGGTTTTGCCCAAATCAGGGGTACCTTTTTGAAGGTCCCTATAGTAAGGACAATACTATATTGGGGTATAAACTGGGTCCCTTTGTTTTGGAAACTATCATATCTTGATGCTTTCAAAAACGCCTGAGCGTCCCATGACTCATGCCGCATTCATTCCTGCAATTTTGCAACCAACTCCAGTGCCTGTACTGGTAAAAAATCTGAGTTGCTGTTAAGGTACTTAAATTAAGTTACCATAATGGGTATACATAGTAAATAATCGGGTTTCCCCAATATAGTAGCTTAATTTAAATTCCTTAACAGCAACCCAGGAATCCAGAATCCAGCAGCTTGCCACCCCACAGTAAGCCAGCTTTTGCCCCACGTGTCGCACGTTGCATGACTAACTGATGGACTGACTTCGCCAACAATGGACAAATTGTGCCGTGGGTCGCCTGACGGTCAGGTCGAAGCTGGGCATGCTGTCTGCAGCATGCAGGTACAGGCTCGTATCTGCGAGGGTGAACCTTGGGAAAGGCTATGTGTATCTGCAAGCGGGATGGCATGTGATGGCTGTGTGAGACCCGAGGGAGCGTGCCTGGCAGTGTCGAAGTCCACGTCATGCAAATGCAAGTAGCCACCACCCAGATTGACCACCAGGGATGCCACACTAGCATTTTCCAGCTGCACTATGCCTTCAGGACCTTCAGGCATGCGCTTTGGAATCGCATCCCAGGCTAGGCTACACAAAGGAACTGGCCTGAGATTGAAAGCATGCTGCCCAAGTAGACTGGCCCCCCAATTCGCAGAAGACTTCGCCCACCAGCTTGGAGATTCACCTGCCAAATAGCTGGCAGCATCAAATGCGACTCTGCCCCAATGATGTTGGCAACTCCAACAAGAAGTGTGGGTTTCCCAAAATCAGGACACCATTTCGGGGGTACCCATAGCATTTGCTACAGCATCTGGAGGTCTATCTTGGGGTAACTACCAATAACCTATAACCCCTTACATAAGCCCAGCTTTCATGTCATGTTCCATTCTCTTTTCCATTTGATTCTCCATTATTGAGTGTATACCCCTAAACCGAAAACCCTTTATCCTAAACCCTAAATCCTCAATCCTAAACCCTAAGCCTGCCTGCGTCAGCCGCCACTGAACATTGCTTCCAATTTCCAGCTTCACAGCTGCCTCCGACGCGGTCATCGAAACTTCGTAACATACTGCATGAAACTACGTTATCTTACACCATATACTACGTACATCATACCACATGATCTAATGTATCATACTAGATCATATTGTATTTCATACTTTTATGTTACATTATGCAGCACCTCCTCTCCTTTGTCATTGGCCGGGCCGGAGCAACTCAGAAGCAATCGTCCAAAGCTCACGTCCTCACATGCCGAGCATTTGGCAGTCTCTCTTTGGAGGGATCAGAGAGGGTTCCACATTAAGGATGAGGCAGGAGGGAAGGTGCCCAGAAACTCCCACATCCCAATGAGCCGCTTGCTCCAAGAGATTCATGGCTAAAAGCTGCATCGCTTGCTCGCGGCTGATGGTTCCATGGAGGCCTGGTTTTTCAAATGCAAAACTTCATCATGATCAAATTTATGTTTGAGGAGCAAGTCCTAGCTCGGTGAGGACAGATGCTGTTGTCCCATAGCAGAAATCGCGCACATGAAAAGGTCAAAGGTTCGGATGATGCTGAAGAAACAACAGCAGGTAGGCTTTGTGGTGTTGATTGGGACATACATGCTACTGGCTATCAGGGCAGGATGAGTTTAGTGCCACAAGGTAGAAGATGAATGGCGATGATGGCAATGATGATGACGATGTGGTGGATCAGCTGGTGGAGGAGGCCAGGGCAGCCGTGACAATGCTGACGATGGGTGAGATAAGGAGATGATGATGATGATGATGATGATGCTGATGATGATGATGATGATGGGGAACATGCTGCTATGTGCTGCTGAAGATCATATGAGGAGATCTGCTAGATGTAGCTGGCAACACCGTGCGCTGAATGATCGCTTAGTAAGGCTGATGGAGGGCAAATAATTTCAGGATGTATGCCGCGGTGATGGAGGCAATCGCAAACGCTGATAAGTGATGAAAATCGGGAAGGCTACACTAAAGACTGTCACTGAGATAGATGGCAAATATAAATCAGAAAAGGAGCAGCCATCATCAAAGCAGGCTATATGTGACAGATGATGCTGGGGCCAAACCCACTGTGTTAGGTGCCCATCCCTTCGATGAGAAGGATTGAACGAGGAAGAATGCAGCAATGACTGCAAGGACAATGATGACGCTGATGACACCAATGACGATGCTGATGATTGCAACGGATGATCACAGCCCTGATGGCTATGACCCTGATTGTCTTCATGATGATGCTGAAGCTAATTATGATGATGGTGCGATGATGTTGGTTGGTGATGCTTGTGATATAGGGATGACACTGGATTGTGATATCAGATTTGACTTAAAATCGATTTCAAGTCATGTTCGGAGGAGGTGCTGCAGTCAGCCAGGGGCTTCACTTGAAGTCGATTTCAAGTCCCTGAAGGGAGGTATGTCCAAGCACAAGAAGGGACTTAAAATCGATTTCGATTTTTTGGGGCATCCTCCGAAGCCAAACTTGAAATTGAATTTAAGTCTTTCACATGCTCCTCATTGCGACTAGTGGCAACCGCTTCTTGTTTCTCCCTGGCGGAGCTGCTTTTTGGTCCTTTGTGGACAAACTACGGACCTCTGCTCAAGTCTTTTTCCTCTGGGCTTATCAAAGGGAACTCTCCCAGAAGTCAATGTTTTTTTCCTGGCGTTCAAAAAGGCCTTTAGGTTTCAAAGGGACCAAACCTGCATTATATTTCTCGTTACTCGGGATTTTGTGTGGGGCCTTTGCAAAGGAACTCTCCCAAAAGACAATTCCTTTTCACCTGGCGCTGTTCAGGGGCCTTTAAGTTTGCAAGGGGCTCGACGTGCATGCATGTTTTTGTGCCCTTTGGAAATTGAGCTCTCCCGGAAATCTTCTGTTCCCTGGCATTGCGTAGAAGTTTGAAAGGGACCCGATGTGTAAGTCAGTTCTTGTTACTTGGGACTTCGTAGCGGCCTTTGCAAAGGAACCCTCCTAGAAGTCAACTTCATTTTTACTGGCATTGTTCAGGGCTGCTAAGTTTACAAGGACCCGACGTGCGTGTATTTTGTTGTTACTTGGCATTTCATAGGGGCCCTTTGGAAAGGGAATTCTCCTGGAAATCCATCTTATTTAGCTAGGGGGACCTTTGGGTTGGAAAAGGGACCATGTCTTGTCTTGTTACTCGAACCGAATACCTTAGAATGACAACCTTTCAGAAAACCTTCTGGTCAAAGAGTAGAAAGTGTAGGACATCAGCAATATAGGTTTAAATTTGGTTTGAAGACTTGCGGGACAAACCCTTGCGATAGGAGAACTTGAAATCCATTGTAAGTATGTAACATGGACTATAAGCTTAAAATTGGTTCTAAGACCTACAGGACAAACTCTTGCATGAGGATAACTTCAAATCGATTGTACCTATTTACCATGGCGTATAAGATGACAATTGGTTTTAAGGTGTACATGAAAATCTCTCGTACGAGGAAGACTTGAAATCGATTCTAAGTGTTGCCATGGGATATGGGGGTTTCCCACAATAAGGGAAAAGGGTAATGATGATGGTGGTGATGATGGCGAAGATGAGGATGACGATGACAAAGCTTATGACGGTGATGGCTGTGATGTTGATGTTGATGATGATAATGATGATGATGGTGCTGATGATAAGAATGTTTTTGCAGCCAGATTCTTATCAGCCATTCCATATTCACACCCACCCCCTCCCCCCGATGTTCACGAATACCAAAGTCAAGTAAAAGCCTTCAATTGAACCCCTCCAACCATGCATCCACCAAGCCAGCCAGCCAGCCCAACCTGTGCCAACCTGCACAAAATTGTCCTTCAACAACCAAAAACAAGATCTCACAATAGTCTCGGACCGTGTGGAAACAGGTTTTTCATTTTGCCAGTTCTAAGCTGATGGTTTGGCCGGCCCAAGATACGCGCTAGTTATGAGGAAGTCTCGAGTGCAAGCAGACAGGATGAGCAGCATTAGCATCCTGCTTGACAGATGCCGCGCTGCCGCCAAGCGTGGTCTCTGTGAATGACAGCCCAAGACCTCAGCAAACAGGAAAGCCCACAAACGAAACTCTGAGCCCTAAACCGCAAATAGACTCTAAACCGTAAAACCTAAGCTCTAAACCCTGACCCCTAAACTGAGAGCTCTAAACCCCAACCCTAAACCTTAAACCGTAATTCCTACACTTTGTTTGGTGCAGGCCATGGATTTTGGGGACACAAATTCAACATGTTCCCACTCCATGCCAATCTCTGTCAGCGGTTTAGGGTTTGGGGTCAGATTCGATTCTGAACGTCAAGCCGTCTGCAAACAGCTAGTTGCAAGCTCCAACATCTTGTCTCAAGGACTCCAAATGGAGTAGGGCCTGATTGATTCGGGTTTTCGGTGGGTGGATAGGGGTTCTTTCGGAACAGTGGTGGGGTGTAAATGAGGTGTCCATATGGATCAACCACGAACTGACATTCTACCTTGTACATACCCGTCCCTGAAAAATCCAGCTCTTGGGGATTTAGGGTTTAGGGTTGTGTAGGTATGCATGAGAGCTGTCTCTTTGCCGACTTGAAATTGGGTTGGTTAAGATGGTAGGTCCCTTGTCGGGATCCTTATACCAGGTCAAGTGATAGAAAAGGGGGTCCTAGTTACAGAAACTCGCGAGTAGTCGTATGAGAATGCAAAGCAGGATCCTAACTCTGAAGGTTGAGGCCGTGAAGAGGCATGTTCAACCCCAAAAAGGCCCCGATGTCCAGTTGAAGGTGTATAGTTCATGTGTGCAGGATTTTTGGTGGACATTATATGGTCCCCAAAACCTTTTGATTCTCGGACTTGATGAGAAGGATGTCGACTTACTTTTGAACCGCCAAGAAAACACTGTTCATGCTCCCAAACGCTAATCCCTGTGGAGCATTTAACCGAGGCTTGCCAGTTACCACAATTAATGTGGTTCCACAATGTAGTAACTTAAATATAATTAAGTTCCTCAACAGCAACCCAGATGTTTCGCCAGTTAGGACCTGCAAAAATCAGGGTTTAGGGTTTAGGAGTTTCTGCCTAACCGCTCAAGGGGTTTCGTAATGATTCGTAATGACTCATCACTGGGATTGTCAGAATGCAGGCAGCAAGGGGCTTTAACGTAGGGTTATAAGCCCAGCTCTCATTTCTTAGTCCCATGAACCTTTGAGTGCGGTATCAGGCATACGGGGTCGAACAAGATGTCTACATCAGATGTACAAGTACTTCTCATAATCGTCCCTGAAACCCTACAAAAATGGGTTCAGAGAAAAGGCATGGCAAAACCTTCGTCCACCGTAGTGCCATAATTCCCCAGGTTTCGGGTACTCAGGGCCATGCAGGATCTTCAGCAGCAACCCTAGAAGCCCCTATACACTGCACAAGAACGCCTTGTCGGGCACATTAGCGGTGTTGCTGTCAACCAGTCGCCTACAGCCAGGCTACACGAACCAGAGCTGGTGTGAGCAACTGCCATAAAGTCACATGGTCTGAAACATCCTTGGCAAACCCCTGTCCGATGGCGAGGTCAGCGCTTGCTTTGCCAAACACTCAGCCTAACCACTGTCGTTGGCGACGAGGATCCCAAAGGGCACTTTGCCAAAGCCTGACTGCGGCAACCGCCACGGCAGATTGATATGCCAGACTTACAGGTAGAACACCTCGTGTTTGGGATCCAGCGGCTCGCATTTGCAAGGAACCGGATGTCGTCGCGGCTTGGGGTTCCTTTGCTCTTCCAGAATCTTGTTGCGGTACCACTCAACGACGTCACCCCAGCGGCAGGCATCGGACTTGGTTGCGCTAGCAGGGCTACCGGGCTCGGCTGAGCTGGCTGTGTTGGCCAAGCTCGATTGTTCCACTGTGCTGGCTGCGTTGACGTCTGCGCCAGTGGCACCTGAGTTCGTCGAGTGGTCCTCCAAGCTTGCGGGTCGGGCTGAGCTTGGATCGGTTAAGCTTGCCTGGCTGGCTGCACAGGCATCCTCACCCTGCCACTTGAGCAGGAGGTCTCGGCACTGCAAGCAAGCTTCCCGGCGGTTCTTGCTCTTCGCCTTGGTGGCCCCATGCATTGCTTCATCGATGGCGCGGCCACAATGCAGATCCTCTACATTCGGGTCAACGCCCTGCTCAAGCAGATCAAGAAGCCCCTGCACGAATCCCTCACGTGCAGCATAGTGGAGCGGGGTCTTGCCGAAATTGTCAGCTGCAGACTCTGCCCCAGTGGAAGCACGTCGCAGGGCTTCGCGGTCCCAGTTGGCACAGGCACTGCGGCAGGCAAATGCACGTCGGGAGGAGAGGGCCTCCGGGTGAGGCAAGTGCCCTTCCAGATCAACAACCTTCAGGGAAGCGCCATCCGCGCATGGTGTGCTTGCTGAGGCCATTGAGCTCTATGCATCTAACCCTCAGAACGGCTTGCACAAAGAAACCACTGCAGCTTGACAGCAGATCTGAATCATTGATGCTAAAGTACACTTCGACTGCGGAACCGAAAGTTCATTACACAATTTGATAATTAGGCTACGCCCCCTGCCAGCCAACCAACTGGAGCCGCGGAACAGCTGCGATTCAACAACTCAACCCCCCATGAGTCACCAGTCACGTAGAAACAAGCTGCTAGCACAATGGACCTTGCTGAAAAAGGTGCATTTGCTTGGGCAAACAGCTCAAGATGCGCAATGGCATCCTACCTTCTTCTAGTTCTGCTCACGCACTTAGCTGCTCCGCCAAGAGACCTGCCGTGGGGATGATGTCGACCATGCAGGACTTGAGATCCAGCACAACAGTGTCAACACCCACGGGGAGCTTCTGCCAACAGAGCTGCTTGAAGTTGCAGGATGCATCCACTGGGGAGACGCATTTGCTACGTCATGACGCATGACAAGTCAAATACAGCCTGCCGTGCGTGCCATTCAGAACTAACTGTCCTTTGGAGCCTTGCAGTAAGTTGCAACATGAGAGGTCACTGACAACGATTGATGTGCCTTACTTGTTGAATGACAGTAAGCTGTAGGCGCACTTAGCGTGGCTTCCAGAGCCACCTTACCTGATGGATTCTTATCGCTTCTAGTTGGGGCCTTGTCGGTCCTCCTAGATGCATCATAAGTATCTTTAAGAGGTTCAGGCTGGCCAAGCAACAATGCTCAGGTTATGCAGTCGGCATATGAAACATGCATATCACTTGACTGCATAGATGTAAGAGCTACCTGTGGTGTCTGATGTCCGCCTATTTTGGTCAAAAGGTGCAGCACTGGATCAGGCACAGGGTACCCTCTGCTAGCAGATGGGTCCTGGAAGGAGAAGGACGTCTGCTCTCGAGGCGAGAGGGTCGAGGCAAGAAGCGAGCCCAGAGCAAGAAGAGTCAGGCCGTACAGAATGCAAGCCTGGGTCAGGCAGTCAGGCAAGCAACCAATCACCGGCAATCAAGGCCGGCAAAGCACTCGATGATTCCTTCCGCCCAGGCACCAGCGACACTGTTACGGCCAATGACTTGCATGCTGACACCTGCTACGCAGGCAGTACACGCTGTCAACCCTGCAGCACACTCCAGCCGCCACTCGCACTAGACCAGGACGAAAAACAACCACAAGTAGAAGAAGCCGTCGCAAGCCTTTGGAGCCACTGCAACAGCTGCGTCGTCAACCTGCGCTGCGCAGCGGCGTAGCGGCATGATGCCAGGTCGCTGCAGGACATGGGAGCTCGCTGCACTTCACCCACACAGTTCTGCCTTCGCCAGTAGCCTTTGAACTGTCCGTGGCTGAACTTTCATTTGGTATCCTGGAGGTGCAAAACATCACACAACAGCTCAACTCAAATGACATGCATACAATCCACTGGATATGATGTGAACTACACAACTCTGTGATTGCAGTTGGATGCTTTTCACATAAGTCCTGGAACTGCTTCTCCACGGCCGTCTCAAGTCCATGACATGACAGGACGCAGTAAGAAGACTTGCTCAGTCTCCATGAATGTCATTGCTGAGCTTGTGATGACTTCATGTTTACAAGCGGCGCTTATGTCTACCAAAGCCGCACCATTGAGCGTGGCTGGTCCCATGTTAAACCGCAATGCCTGCCCGGACATGTGTAGGCGTGCTCTGACAGAACGACTCTTGCTCCGCCATCACTGGCACAGCTGCAGCTTCCAGAGCTTATGCGGCAAGCTGCTCAGAGCATGGCTACGTAAACTTCGCAGCATCACGGAGCTGCATCATGAATGAGGGGATGAATACCAGGTACACCTCCAGGCGGTAAGGATGCAGGCAAGAACCTGAACACCAGGCTGAGACCTCTCAGCGCCCAACTGAAAAGAAGCCAATGACTTCAATGAGCGCCAGCAGGCCCTGAGTCCATGGGGATATTGCCCCGACAATGGAGGGTCAAATGAAAAATCATTAAATTTGGGATTATATAGGGATAATGGAAAAGAGGATGGAAACTACTATAATGGGGTTGTATATGCATTAATTATGGGGTATATATTGCAAACTGGGATTCCACAAATTTTATAGGGCATCTCACAAAAGAGCTAGTGAGGCTCCTGGAATTACAGCATCTTGCCGCCTGCAAGAGCTGAGCCTAGGGCAGTGCACACAAGCGTGAAGTTGAGAACGTCCTGAATTGGTGGTTTAGGGTTTAGGGTTTACCAAGATAAGTGGACAATGTGGACTCCAATACACTATAATCTTTGTTATGGGGACCGCAAAAATGTGCCCCTGAAATTGGGAACCCCTAAACCCTAAATAGTAGCTTTCATCTTCCTTTCCAGTATCCCTGCATAAACCCTATATTCCCCTCACCCTCTGGAAAAACCCTAATCCTCAAACCCACATGCTTGGCCGAGGGCCTCACAGCCCGAACGCCTATACGAAAAGAGACATGGAGAGGTGAAGGTAAAGCCTCACCGCCTGATCTGAACAGGCCAGCGAGAATGGCCTTGCTTACGACAACATAGGTACTCCGGTAAGGGACGGCCGTACCCAAACTACCTTTAAAGCGTAGCCAATGATAGTATACCTCCAAACCGTACGCCATCTGCTCTGGCCCCCGGTTAAGGGCTTGAGATTTTGCATTTTGGGGTTTAAGGTTTTAGGATTTGAGGTCTAGGATTTAGGGTTCCGGATTTGAGATTTAAAATTTGAAGTCGAAAATTTAGGATTCCATAGCACTTTTGTGCCTCTCCCAGACCGTTTCTGTTTGAGGCCGCTCCCAGACTGTTTCTGGGTCTCTCCCAAACCGCTTCTGGGTTTCTTTTCGGGCTTGTCCCAGACCGTTTTTGAAGTTTTGCGCTAGCGAAATCGCCGGTTTCCTGTTCAAAATTGCCTTTTAAAGCCTACGGCACCCCAGCAAAAATTCGAAGCCACTTTTGCAATTTTGGAGCCCAAAAAGGTTCATGTTTTTACACACGCAGAAATTCGAGGACCATCTTGTTATTTTCGAGCCCGCACGGGACGGTCCCGAAACGACCCGTCTCCTGTTCAAAGTGGCCTTTTTGGAGCCTACAACACGCAAGCAGAAAATCGATGCCAATTTTGCTATTTTTGAAACTTCATAAGGGAGACGGTCCAGAAAAGGCCCGTTGCCTGAGAGGAAAGGCTTTTGGGGGGTCTACGGCACACACAAGCAGAAATTCGAGGCCCTTTGTGCCAGAAAAGGGAATCCCTAAAACGATCAGAAATGCCGCTTCCTGCTAGAAATTGCCCTCTTTGGGCCTACTGTGGTGTACAAGTTTATCATTGGAGCACTAAAAGAGGGGACGGTCCAAAAACAGCCTGGTTCCTGCTAGAAACGATCTTTTTTGGGCCTTTGGCGCCTAGGCAAATATTCGAGGCCGATTTGGCTGGCCATTTTGGGGGTGCTCCAGAAACGGCCCGTTTCCTGTCAGAAATGGCTTTCGCACGAGGGCCACAGCCAAAAGAGCGGATGCTCAAGATCATCGGCCATGACGGGCGATGGAGCGCGTGCCCGAAATAATCGGCCATGATGGTGATGGTGGTGATCGTCTTCCAAGAGGAAAAACCCTAAACCCTAATGGAATATAGTTTGGGTGACCGTGGTGGGTTTATATAGCCTTGGGGTGCTTCACGCCCGAGCGCGCCCGCCCGACACACCCTGAACCCTAAACCCCTAACCCTAAGTAAAGCCTATACTATATTCATTCTTTACTACCTCCCAGCAAGTGAAATTCCCGAGCCCCCGACGACTGCACACTGAGAGCTGGCCAGGGCCTCAAAACAGTCAGTGATGACCATTTCCATTTTCTGATCATGCACCACCCCCTAGCAGTAAGGGGTCTATGTTGGGTTGCCCCGTTTATGAGACACCTCATTGTTGGACCCTAAGAGCCCAGCGAGCCAACAAAGGTATCCACCCCAAACCATCGTACCGCCTTGCACAAGGAAGACCACCTCAGCTCATTACATCCGCTTACAGCTAGTTGGTGGGGAATGGAGAAATGGAAGCGAAAACGGAAACTACTACGTTGTTGGGGAGCATATAGAGATTAATGGAAAGATCCCTTCCTTCATTCCTTCACACCAGAGATGCAAACCAGAGATAAGATTAGCTTGCACACCACTGCCTGCTTGCCTTTGACGAATGGTGAAGAACACGGGCTCCACGCTGAGAAGCAGGCAAATGCCAGTAAACCATAAGTGGTCCACGTCCTTCACTCATTGTGAGTGAAAAGCTCTGACAGCTTAAATTACGAACTTCCCACAGACTGGCCATGAAAGCTACGGGAAGACAAGCACGCCCCAGGGCCTGTCGCTGCCATGTTCCGTCCATGCCATTTTGGCATACAGCACGGCACTGATAGAGGCCACGAGTCCTGCTGCAAGTGGCCCATGTTAGGAAAGCATTAGATGAAATCTCGAAGCCCCTGCCTACCAGCGCAAGGAACCACCATAGCGGTATGTCACAGCTTTGTCGCAATCTTAGCTGACAGAGGATCTAATTTTGCTTTACTGGAACGAGGGACAGTACAGGATGGGCTGTCACTGAGCTTCACACAAGCTTGCGAATATGACCTGGGGTGCGCCCCTATGCCCCATGCCTGTGCGCATCTAGACATGTCTGTGCTTTCTCACTTCCCCCCACCCCTCACCCCCAAAACGCAATCCCAAAAGCTAATCCCCCCGCCCTTCGTAAGTGCTACCAGGTCTCCCCAAGAGAACTCACGAAGAATAGAAAAAAGTCCATGGCCATCGAGATGACACACCTGGCAGTGACAGGAGAACACAGCTGTCCGGCATGGATTACAAGTCCAAGCAAAATGGGAGTTTCCTTCTTGTGGGGTACCGATGATAAGATAAGTATACCAGTTCATTGTGGTCCATTTGGGGACCCCCTGGTTTTCGGAGACTCCCCAACACACCATCCCCAAAATGAGCAGAGTGTGCAGTGCCACGCTGGGGTTGTCCAGCAAAGGAGCAGGCCTTGGGAGGCAGTTCCGCTTGTGCTTATTCAGAAGTCCTAAATCTCAAAACAAGCACCACAAAACCGAAAGCTTGATTGTTTCCATCAGTTGCCGGCTGTACACTGGCATGGCGACTTGACTCTGGCAAGTCTTGACCAAGATGGACACTTCTGAATCTCACTGCTCGAGTTTCCAGTGTGTTTCAGATAGATGCACCTACTAGTCCTCAAAGGCAGGCTCCGTGTTCACAACAGGCAAATGTGTCACACCACCTCTCATGGCACTCTCTAGCCACCACAAGCCCAACCGCATTTGAACGCCTTCGATCTGCAAGACAAAGCTGCACGTCGTGTTGCAGCGATTTAGCACGGCTCCCAGCCCCACGCCCGGCTGTCTAGTTTCGCCCTTGATCACCACAGGCTTCTTTGCACCGATATGCATGTAGGCAGGCTGCTTGGCACCCTGGATATTGTGGCCAGGCGTTATTCGAACAGCTTGTCCTTTCCGCAGGTCCAGCCACATGCGCTGGCCTGAGCAGCGTCTACCATCTTTGTCATACGGCACCAGGGCTCTATCCTGGGTTGGCCAAACTGGCGGCCGAACAATGCTCACGCCAAAGCCAAGCTCCGGCAGCAGCATGCGCATAATGTCATCTGACTTGCCAAAGAGACGTAGGGTCATCTTCCCATCTTGTGCTGTTTGCTGCAGGTTCAGGATGACGGTCCCCAAGCCTCCCCCGACAGCAGGGAGGACCTCCAAGCGCTCGTCTCGGGGTACTGTTATTGCTTCTGCTAGACGGTCATCTTCTTCGTCTGAGTCTTCATCTTCACCCGAACGGAAACGCACTTGGATTGTCTTTTCTCCAACAGCCGTAACCAGGCCCTTGAGGGGAGCACCTGGCCGACGCAACGAGACCCAGGCGCCTGGGGCCAAGACCCCAGCAGCCGGCGCAGGTGGCAGCAGAGTCCGGTCCGCAGTCTTCGTGGCCACCTTGCAAAGACTGTAACACGAGCCACGGCTGGGCGCATGGAAGCCTGCATGTTCCCTGGTCCCACCTGGTCAGCATTGAGGCCGCCCAAGCTTGTGCCGAGGACGAGGCAGAGGTCAGCTGTCTCAGCATCTTCCCGCATCCATGGATAGGACTGCCGGTGGAGACTCCCACTATACTTGACCACCTTGGCTGATCAACATCTATGCAAAGACGCGGCCGTTGAGAGGCCACGATGCTTCCTGCTTTTCAACCTGTCTGCTTGCGCGCCCCTCAGAAACATATGCATTAATCGGAATCAAACCTCTTAAACCCATTTTAATGAAGGCCGGAAACAGGATTGCTTGGGTCATACCAACTGCCATGAATCTCGTTGATGCGCTCTTGTGGGAAACCTGCCTGCGCAGTGTCCGAAGGTGTGTTCGATGCAGCTGATTGCCCTTCAAGAATCTGAAATTTGCTTCAAGCGCCTACAGGAAATCCACAGCTTGAGAACTTAACACCATAGCGCAACTCAGGAAATGCTGGGAAAACAACAGCCGGACAGCCTTCTGCGGGAGACCATCATGGTTCTGCTGCACCCAGCCATGCAAGAAGCCCTGTCTTCCTTGGTTTGCCGCGTGTTCTCAATGTAATTTTTGCGCGGCTGTAAAGTCCTGTAAAGTAATTAAGGTGGAATGCCTGAGGTCGAACAGCGAAAGTCAAGGCGAGGCTCCAAGGAACCCCAAGGCGTGATGGGTGAACGTTGGCGGGGCAGCACGCGTGTTGTTTTTCCATCCAACCGTGTTCTGGCCAGACAGGGCTGCCTGGCCAATCACGGCCGCCGAGATGCCTTTGAAGGAGTGCCGTTCGTGTCAAGAAACAATGCTTACACGAACTACCAGTACAGCTGATAATTTGAAGAAATCGTTGCGTGCAGAAATTGTTCAGCGGCCGTGTGTGTATAGTGTAAAGACACTAGTCGCAGGTCGAGCTGCCTGCTCCGGTGTAGGCCACCGTCTTCCTGGACAGCTTAATGAGTTGTGCCAGCTCTTTGACCTTTGCCACCGTCACCTGGAAAACGCAAAGAACTCTTAGGCTCTCAGTTTGAGCCAGCAAGTGGTGCAAGACTGGCACCAGGCATCCCGCAAGAATCTGCAAGACAGCGCCTCCGGGTGATCCTCGAATTCTGTGGCGGTTAGCCACTTGGGGCAAGAGTGGTCCTTTCGCGGTGGCTGGTTGCTCTTCCAGATCACTTTGGGCGGCGGCCAGTGTAGCCTCGTCCAAACATGAAGCGTGGATCCGATGGATCCATGAAACCCGTCTCGCGAAGCCTCGTGCAAACGGCCACCCGCGACGGATCAGCGTCGGCCTTCCCCTCGCTGGTGCCCTCAGATTTGTACGAAACAGTGGAAGCAAAGAGTTCCACATATCCCGAAGGCAGTACAGGCTGGTGGATCTGAGCTCCGGTCCCGCAGCAGCTCCGGCGGAGGCCCAGGGCCAGGTTGCTCCGAAGCTTCAAGCTTCGCATCTTCTGGCATCGCTTCTTCTTCAGACTCACAGCCAGCGAGACTCCCCCGCACGCCGTAGATGTCGCTGTGGGACTCGGCACCGTCTCGGTCCTCCGCGTCCGTCTCTGCGGGCACGGGGGGCGGCGCAGGCGGTGCGTTGTCAGCAGTCTCGCTGGCAGGCGGAGGTGCCCCAGGCACCAAGGCGGAAGCAACGCTGGAGGGCACTTCAAGCTGCCCACTTGCATCCTCATGATCAAATTGAAGCTCCCAGCTTGTTCTGTGAGTGGTGCCCTCTTTGAACTTCAGAAGCACAGCAATTGCGAAGGTTCCCCAACCTCTCAGTCGATTTGCAGACAGAGGAATCTCTGGAAGCTTCACGGGTGCTATATTTGCAGGTAAGCTGCCTCTGGACTTGAATTCAAAGGGAGCTGATTCGCAGGTGCGCACTGGATTCTTGAAGGTCGGGTGCAACTTGATGGTGACTGAGTCTAGAAACTCTGTGGCACCACGGACATAAAACGTCCAATTGTATCGCTTCCCATCCTCTGCGGGCTCCGCAGTGTTGCCCAGCACAAGGTGCACCATTGAGGGAAAGAAAGGGCCAGGGGCAGTGACTCGAGCCTTGCGACAGAAACAGCGTGCGTTCACAACCTGGCGGGCCTTCAGCTTGTGCTTGCTGCTACGTGATCCAAAACTTGCAGTACTGAGATGTACTGAGCTTGCTGACCCTCCGCCTCTCCGGCGTCGCATTGCAGCGGCCCTTGGGAGATGCACGCTCTGTCTGAATCGCTCTCTCTCTCTCCTTCTGGCTCAAGGCTTTCCAGAAGAGTAAGCTGCGCACTTCGAACTTTCATTGAGGACCTGTGACCGGCTGCCATGGCATTCACCGGGTCCTCTGGCCGATGCACGACCTCTTCCCTTGTCTCTGCCGTGCTGCTCCGATGCCCGGCCGTGTGCTGCAAGCGTTGCTACAAAATATTGTTGCAAAAACCGGTGCAAGCATGTCATGTGAATCCTGCGAAGCCTGATACTGCTGATGTTTGCGGGTACCAGACCCTCTTGAAGCTGTTAGAAGGACCATGACAGGAAAAGGATGTGAAAAGCGGCTTTGGATAGAGTAGTGAAAAAGTGTCTGTGTTCTTCAAGAAGGTCAGTGTGCTTTCCTTTTCCAGCTCTCATCCCAGACGCTTGACAGCCAGCGTGGGCTTCTGAACCTCAAGCAGAAGTCAGGCATGAAGCCCAGCAATCGCACACGCGAGGTTCACACCTTGGCGCCGCCTGCGCCTTCCGCCTTCGATGTGCGCAGGAGTTGGGGTAGGGGAATAGAATTGCGAGGATCCAACCAGCCTCGGCCGCCCTGTCGCACAGACCGACCAAAAGCGCGGATGGGTTCTGGAGGCCCTGAATTACAGCTTTAGCATTCCAAATCTGTGGTCCTCTGCCTAGACACTGGAAGCAAGTGCCTCGATGGGCCTGCTAATCGTGAAGGGCTCCTCTCGCACACACGGCTTTCAAAACACAGCGCATCCTCCATATTGAAAGTCACTACAGAATGTTCATGCTACAGCCTCTCACAACTGTCCCCCTTTCTGCTTCAACTCAACCCCATTTTGCTGCTATCTGCTGATCTTACAGAACGTGCAACCATTGATACCGAGAGCCATGAAGGTGTCCAAATCATCACATGCCAACGAAGCCTCCATCTAACTTGAGCCCTGCCTCGGGGCTGAAGCTCAGTGGCTCTGCGGATGCAGTTACTTTTGCATCCTCCTCAGTTTTTGACAAGCATAGCTGACAAATCCTCATTCGAACCCCGGCTGCAATGTTTCGGCACGCCTCTGCTGCCGGAGCTGCAGCAGCAGGTGATGCATCTGGCAATGCTACAGCCGGCTGGTACCTGTCCCCAGCTACGGACCTGACTACGAAATCCTTGAAGTAGGGGCGTTACCAATCTAGGAAACACGGCGGATTTCATCCCGCCATGCTGCAGTGGGAGGCAGTGAAGGGTCACTTCTCCGGCAATAAGTACATTGGCGTCTTGGCCCACACGGCCATCAGCGCGTCCATGCGGGCCTGACACGTCGTTCAAGACAGCAACCAACGGATGCTCTCTCTTCGTAAGATCGTCCCTATCCAACCGGTAAACGTACACAAGGGGGACCCCTGTGATCTCCTCATGATACCCTGAGCCCGAAACCCTGAACACTGAATCGTAGTAGTTTTCATTTCAGTTTCCATGTGGTTTTCCATTTGATTCTCCATCACTGGGTCATATCCCTATATATCCCCCGTGTCCCCATGTAACTCGCTGCGTAGCAGATTAACGGATATGGCAACCTTTTGGTGGATACCACAACCAAGCCAGCGAATACTGCAACTGATAGCCAATACCGGTGGACGGGATATCACAACTGCAGCCAGCTGTACAATATTACAGGTGGATTTCATTTGGCCGCCAATAGGACATCTTCATGGTATGTTCTCTTGATATGTTGTGTTCAACTCGAGTCACGTAGGCTTCCAGCACAAGGATGAAAAAGTGCACGTATTGTATGGAATTCCTTTGGCCTTCCATCACAAGGTGTAAGCAACGCATCTGGGAAAGACTGCGCATTTGCCCTCCCCCAAATTGAGTTCTGTTCTGGAGCAATAGTGGAAGATCCATTGACAAAACAGTACGTAGGCATCTTATAGTCAGACCTAAGTTTCATGTGTGGGCCCTTTCGCCTCCTGCCACCCTGCAACTTTGGAATGGTCAAACTGAAGTATTGGATGTGGCCCCCTGATGTTTCCTTCTACTCTGAAATTCGGGAACTTTCATACCTAAGGATGATATGTGCTCTCTTTTGTTTCCTGCCACCTTCTTGCGAAAGCACCCCCCATCTTCTTGCATGATCTTGCAAAAAGAAACAAATGTTCCTTGCATGCTTTGTGGCCATGGGCGTCCAGTGGGGGCAAAGGCCCACAATGGGCTGCAAACTCAACCCTACATGCTGCCTCGGGCATAGTCGATCTTTCTCTACATTAAAAGTTTTCCGAGACCCCATGTTTAGAAAGAAACGACGCCGATAGGACATATCACAACCAGGGGACTGTTCGGACTGGTTCCTCTGCCTTAGGGAACAACGATGACTTTACGTTTGTGCTCTGTCAATGTTTCTAGTAACTGTTTCTGACATCTGGTTGCACTTTCCCCTAGATGCCCTACCTAACCCCAAATGACCCAATAAATCCGAAATCCCCAAGTAACCCCTATCTTGCACCCTTAGATGTGGTCCTAAACCCTAAACCTAGCACATGGAGAGCCCCTGGGGTGCTGGCCCAGGGAGACTTCTGCCATCGCTCTGAGGCCAGAAGTACCATATCCGTACTCAGCTCCACATACAAAGGCCAGGCCTGAGCTTCCAAAATCTTGGGATTACTACTACTGTTGATGGAGGAAATCTTGCACCCCCTAGGGGCTCTAAATTACTGTAATTCCTAGGACTTTAAGGATTTAAGGTGGTGCAAGATTTCCTCCATCAACAGTATTACTAGTATTATCATTACTACTACTACTGCTACTACTACTAATATTATTTGATTATAACTACTATGAGTATTATGACCATGAAAAGTAGTACTACTAGTATCATTACCATTAATACTGTTATTAGTAGTAGTAGTAGTAGTAGTAGCATTTTTACCATTATTACTATTGTGGGTTTCGGATTCAAGGGCTTTGGGTTTAGGGTTTAATGGTTTTTGGTTGGGGGTTTTGGGTTCTGGGTTTAAAGCTTTGGGTTTAGAGCTTTGGGTTGAGCGTTGTGGGCTTCAGGGCTTGGGGTTTAGGGTTTAAGGGTGAAAATGTGATAGGGTTCAGGGGTATGCGATATATATATATACAGTGTGTATATATATATATATACAATGTTATGTCAAGGCTATGTTGGATCTACATGCGGATATTCCCCCAGTAACGTTGGGTTGTTTGCTGTATTGTTATTGTGTAGATACACAATGTAATCAATGATGTTATCGTTATGAATATCACTAGTAAAACTGCTAGCACTACTGTCCTTATGATTAGTACTACCATGGTAGCCCTACGGTTATTAGTATTATGACATTACTATGACTATGGATGGTTTTTGTTTGATTTTGGGATTACAGTGTAGGCACTCATTTCTGTATGTGTTAAATGATATTGCACGTCATTGGTATTGTGTGGGATGCCCACTTGACAAGTCAGCATCAAAATCCAGACTTCAACTGCTGGGCTGCAAGCGCAGGTAGCCGCATTCAGAGCGGCTGGTGGCCCCTGCGTTCATGAAACCAGCTGTGCGCCAAGGGGTTACGAAATCACGAAATCTTTTCCTGGCCTTGGCAATGGCACCGGGGATCAGAAAATAAACTGGTCGGGGAGCCAAGCGCCTCAAAACGACAAGCCCAGTCACTCCACGGCGGGGTGCTAGCATGTGTCAGGACTTGCGTGTCCCAGTTTGCAGCTTCTTTGCAAGCTTTACACGAAGGCCATCCAAGCCAAACCCCTCTCGAATCCTAAGAGATGAAACACCTTCGACTTCGATCAGCAAGAGCCACCAAAACTGAAGCAGTTCTGCAAAACAGTCGGAACAAAGTAAGCCAACAAAATGAACCTTTTATCCCACCCCAGGCTCCGAAACTTTTTGAGGGTTAAGCCCGGGCCAGCTACAAATCATTGGAGCTACTATAGTAAGGGTATATGGGGGGTAATTGTATAGGGGGTTTATGGGAATACATGATCCAGGGTTGCCACGCCCCCCCACCCCACCCCATGGCATGGGTCCCCCTCACTGTGGATCTGTGGTGCTTGGTGTTGTGGTGCCGGCGGTCGGTTTCTCCCCCCCTCCCGTGGTAGTGCCAGCTTACACTAAAGCCAAAGTAGAGCTATAGCCCCAGGTAGAAGTTGCTTCAGCCATGTCAGAGGTAGGTTCTTGGTCGAACGCAGCAAGCGCTCACGTGGGCAGACTGGAGCCTGCACAGCCTGTTGGGACTTTTCAGACTCCAAGCGAAAGTCAAAAGTGATGACAGTTATGAGGATCGTGACGAGTGGGTGCCCCATCCCTGTGACAGTTGGCACTTTTGAGACGCAATGAAAGCACGAGGTGCCAAAAGTGACGGCAGATGCAGGGATCGCAGCTTTGAGGCGTCAAAAACGACGACAGCCACAAGGACCGCGACCCCGGAGGGCTCCATCCCTGTGACTTTTGGCACTCTTGAGGGTTTAAGGCTGGGAGGGGGGGGAACATACAATGGCGGGGGTTCACAAAAAGGGTTTAGGATTAAAGTTAAGAAGTTGAAATTTAGGGATATTATCATTACGTTGTCCCCCGACAATGGAGAATCAAATACATGAAATGGAAAAGAAACATGTGGTAAGTTCATCATTTCAATTCCTTAACAACAACCCAGTGTATTGAGGAGCGTGCTTTGTAAGCCAGCTTCCGAACTTCCCTCGCGGCAGGTTTTAGATGAGCATGCGGGCCCCCAAGCATTATGTGAGCCTAGACCCAGACGAGACAATCATGAACACCATGCCTAATCGCAGCAGCTCGTCATGACGCATATCAGCCTTGCCAGTAAGATGAGTGCAAACTGCCATGCAGGGTCTGCAGCGCCAAAGAGCCCACAAGCATGCTGTCATCAACTGGGATCGATTTGCTGCTTGGCACGCAGTAGCTCTTGTCCACATTCTGCCCTTGCAAAATGCTTCAAGAAACTAACTGGCGTTCCCACACAGCCTCTGCTCTGGAAACGAACAATATCATACAATTCTGCGGAACGCGTCTTGCAGCGTAGCAAAGGAACTCATCAGCGCTGATGCTCCCTTCAAGGGATGCCAGCTTTAGAACTTAAGAACTAATGGCCCGAAGCCAAATTTCAAGAAACATTCACTGCGCACGTCATTGATGGACTCCAAGCTGGGTCAGCAAAGCAAGCACGCTTCCTGGCAAGCAGCGAGCCGCACAGTGTTGGTGCATGCTTTTGCTTCTACGTACCCTTACAAGAGTTGACGGTGCTTCCCGGAGTTTTGAGGTGCCCCATGTCTCCCGGTCCTGCAAAGATGCCTAGAATGAGGCCGAGCTCCATAATGACTCCAGCCCTGTGCTGCTCGTCAGGGTGCTGCACCTTGTCTTGATGGCAGACGCAAACCGTCAGTGTTGAGCGTAAGCAGTTTGAAGAATCCCTCTGGACTAAGCGATGTCAAGACGCCTGCTGAGGACCGTAGATCATTGCCAGTGTACTGCACCAGCCATTGGAGGCTGCAAAGAGCGCCATGACTGCAAACGCAACGACATCCTGATGGAGATTGTCAATAACGTATCTCCAAAGGCGTGCTGTTATCATGAGTGTTGTGCATCAGGGCAATTGCAACTGCACCAGGGGTGGAATTGATGTAATTGAAAGGACTTCATATGGTAAGCATCGGTCATCCTTCCTTGCTTGGTTGTGTAGGCATGTGTAGGCAGGGTTGGCATTTCTCAGCTTGCATGGTCCTTCACATTTTTGATTATTCGCGTTTGTGTCTGGCCTGCTGCGCATCCTCTGTTTCCTCTCTCTGCTAGACAATCTATCTGCCAGCAGGGCATGCTTCTTCTACCTTCCAAATTCTGCAGAGCAGCGACGCTGCCCGGGGGTATGCCGGGAGAGAACTTGTGATGCATGGTGCTGCCAACATCTGGAAGTGACTTGCGACGCTTCGTGTGTTTTTGGTTATTCTAGGGTTCTTCAAAGCGCACCGTTCAGCAACCGCGCCTGCCAAGGAGCTGCAATTGAACCTGGGTACCGCTGCAGGAGCATGAAAGCCTTGCCGCAGATTTGCATTGGCGCATGACAATGGGACAGCTCGACCACGGCACACAAAGCATTAGCATGTAATATCATTGCGTTTGCAGCCATGCAGCTGGAATAAATGCCACTCGCAGCCATACAGGAATGCAAAGACTCTTCGGGGAAACTCCAATCTTCTCGAGCGCCTTCCAAACTGGATTCTGAGATTTGTGCAAGCTGATAGCTCTGTGCCTTGGGCGTGGCTCGGCCGACCACGTCAAAGATCTGGAAGATGCCAACCACCAGCGTTGTGTACCAGTCCTGGCCCAAGGGACCTGGGACTGCATAGCACTGGTCCCAGCAACCCAAGCAAAAATGGAGCGTAAGAAGCCCAGGCGCCCTTACTGACGAAGAAGTCCAGCTGCGGCTTCCAGGTTGCCGCTACTCCAGGAAAGACCACGAAGGTCACCACGAAAATCATGGCAATATTCACAAGCTGGGCCAGCACGTCCTTTCCGTGCATATCCGCATATGGAACATATGGATGGACATCAGAAGCCCCTGAAATCCCCTGAAGCGTCCTTCAGGACAGCCCCCAGAGCACGCTGTCCAGAGATCAGCTGCCGAGCAGGATCCGGCTCTGAAGGCTCTGTGCCGGCAGCGAAGGAGCCTTGAAAAAAGCTGCAACACATTGAGACTGATTGAAAGCTACAGTTTATTGTGTGATTCAAAACCTCAGAGCAGTTGGCAGGGCTTCTGGGCACTTGCGTAGTCGGGAGTTGGAACAAGTTGACTGCCATGCTTCCGTGACAATGTCAGATCATGGTCCAACCCCGAATCAAGGGTCCGATGCGGATGACGTCTGCCATGGTGGCCTCTGGCTGTCTGTTCTCCTGGAAGTAAACATTGGAAATTATATATACTCGAAATGTCTTAAACGCACATGGTGCTTTTTGACCACAGTCCTGTCCTGATAAGGGCGAGGCACATAGCGTACCAGGCATAAGCCCACTGCTTGCAAAGCAGCACAGAAGCCAAAGAAGCCAAACACAACCTGCAGCTCACAGAATTCGTCATCGTCGTCATTGTCATCGTCATCATCATCATCACCATCATCATCATCATCATCGTCATCATCATCCACATCGAGCTCTGAAAGGGGAATGACTGCACTTGTCCTGCCTGGTATTTCCATTTCATTGGATCTCCGGATAGGAACTTCCTTGGCAGCAGTAGAATGTACAATGTAGGTACTTCCTTACAGGATTGTCTGACAAACACTGCAACACAAAAGACAACAGACCTCAATGGCGGTGAGGGTCAGCGACAGCATGAGGATTGGACAAAGAACACCCACGATGCCTGCAACAAACAGAATCTGATTTCCACGACATACCCCCCCACATACTGCTATGTACCCCTACAGGCTCCGGCGCAAACTCCTAGTATCCCGCTCAATAAGCCCTGTAATGCTCCCCTATATAATCCACTATATATATATATACCCCTAATCCCCCACATGTACCCCCTTTAGGGAGTCCCTTTAAGGAGTCAATAGCTCACATACCCCCTGTATACTCCCTAATCACCCCTATCAAAATTGGTCTCCAGCCTTGGCCAGCCATGATGGCTCCCATGAGTTTGGGATCTCCCATGGATCCGGCAAGTCCACAAATGAGCGATGTAAAGCAAGACTCGGCGAGACCCAAAACCTCTGAGTCACACAGATGCACAAAGCATCGCGTGAAACGCATTGGCAGTGCTTGTGAGATGAAGCTTTTAAGGCAGGTCGCGGCACAACAAGTCAGCGCAGCTGCAAAGCCCCTCGTGGATGGAACCACGATCTCTCCGTCAACCTCAGCCATCTTTCGGGCGAGGCCAAGTTGGGTGCCCTCTTAACCGGATTGGCTGCATGCCGCGGCCAAGCAGCTTCTTCGGGAGACCAGAATGCCAGCATCGGCATGACGATAATCGTTACGAGTTGCACTGTCAACGACGCAAGATAAGCGGGCCTGAAGGGCACCTTCTGCCCAACTTTGACCATTGTTGTGGTGCCCAAAACATTCATCGCCTCCAATGCAAGGCGCTTTTTGCTATGCTGCTATGTGCATAAGAAACCTCTAAGCGAGGCGAAGGCCCAAGGCCTGATATGTCATGGACGCCACGAAAGGCCACTGGCGATTGGGAAACCATAGGGCAAAGAAGCCCACTGCTGTGAGGTAGAAGTTCCATGCCGCCAAAGTCAGAATCCCCAGAATCTCAGCACAAACATGTCAGGTTTGCTACCCCTTGCGCTGTGTCCTAGAATCAGCCAAGCTGCCACGAATAGAGGGACTGAGCCAAGAATCGGGGGTCCAAACGACCCACGCAGTTCATCTCCCTTAGCTACGACCATGACATGTCTCATGTACTGCATGATAGCAAGCATCCCCAATACAAAAGAAAACTACAAGTCATGAGAATACTGCGAAAGAAGAAGCAACAACAACCTAAACAAAATGGAGCAGCCGTGCCAGCTGCCATGTTGGGGTCAAGAGCTTGAGCTTCAATGTTGCGGCAGGTTGCAAGAAGATGAAAGAACTTGGGTTTGGTTTGGTATTCAGTTCATAGTACAGACAGTCTACTTTTGTGGAAGCTCTGGGGACTGGGCCAGCGTGGGCGCTATACACCTGCGGGCAGTGCAGGTCATGACCCCTCCGCTCTGTACTTTGTTCCAACGCGGGGCCTGTCTCGAGGGACAGAGATGAACACCAGCCGTGATCCAGGCGGGATTTTCGTGGCACTCACCACCTCAATGCTCGCACATCTTTGCTCCAAGCATCTGGACAGGCTTTTCGGATTCAGGCCTCACGCGCCAAGATTTGAGCTCCTTTGGGATTTGCTGCGTTGGAGCGGCCAATCACCACCTCGAATGGGCTGAGTCGCGGCTGATCCTCCTGTGAGAACTGGCTCTTTCTCGCGCTCACCCCGAGTGCCACACTGACTTTGGAAATTTTTGTGCGTATTCCTCACTGTCAGCAGCAATTGCAGCTAAGACGCGTTAAGACCTATTACAAGAAACCCACATGCCTCCAGCACGGTGGCAGGAAGCACCTGGAGGGAAAGTAGCCGGCTATTATTGTGAAGAAGCAGCGTGTTCTCTGCGCTTGGTGCATGCCCATGCAGCTGTCGCGTTGCCCAGAACCCCATGGCGTTGCAGATTTTCGAGAAGTCTTGCCAAGGCGGGGTCAGCCGCCCAGACTCTGTTCTAAGCCAATGATGTCAATTTTGGCGCTCCATTTTCCGCAACATCCATGCCCGAACTATGTGTATATATATATATTTATATACATATATGCTGCAGTGGTTTTGCTCCAAGTCAGGTCTTTCAAGACAATATCATCTTGATGTGGCTCAAGAGAACGCCTGGACGTGCTCCCCGCAGTGCGTCAATTGGAACTGGGTGTCTTGTTCTGGCAGAAGTGTCGGACAAATTTGAGCCATTTCTGACTCTGCGAACGCTTTCTTCAACAGACACGCTGTGTGTAGCTGGCACTTGCACACACGCAAATGAGCCCAGCATGTCCACTTTGCGCGGTATGCTTCCTGCGACTCACCAAACGCTGTTTTAACGAGCAAGCGCCGTACTTTCAAATAACACTCATGCTTAGCTCATTTCCATGGAAGCCAGGATACAATCACTCTGCGCTATTTTCCAGGGGCCCCAACTCGTTCTACACTGCTGCGCCGCTGCGCGACAACCCTGAACCATTTCCGCTCATAAACAAGAAGGTATCGCACTTTTGGGGATTTGGGAGCCAGCTGAAACCAGGAAGCAGACTCTTGCGCCTGCATGCTGAGTAGTTGTAGAAGACTCCGAAAACGTTGGATTTCCATCCCGCAGCACAAGACGTCTACAGTCAGCAATTCAGCATGCAGAGCTGGGGCCCGGAAATTCTGGTTCTTCTCATATTGCAGTATCCTAAAACCTAAATGGTAGTTTCCATTTTCTTTTCCATTATCCCTATATTCCCTATATAACCCCTAAATAACCCCAGAAATAGTAGAGATAATCTCCGACATGGTGCAAAGTATGCAACCGAGGCACCATAGGCGCTGGAAAATCAAATTCCTCCACAGCTGTTAGCCGATCCTGCCATGAACAGTCGATCACAGTTTGGAGACGTGAGTAGTTCGTCTGTTGGTGATTGAACCAAGTAAGAGTACATGCAAATAAGACAAACTAAACAAGAGGTGGATATCATCTTCCTCTATGTAATAGGGGATTCTAGTAGCTGAGGTAGAAATGCTGTTGGGACATGCATGTTGCTCACACCCGAGTAAAGTCTTATTATTACAATGTGGATTGTATTGTTACTGTAGTTAAAATTTGTGAGCATATGAGCTACAGTCTAAACTCCTAGTATCCCCCTTAATAAGCCCTATAGTAGTCCCCTATATAATCCCCTATATAACCCCCCTTTAAGGAGGTTAGACTATGGCTCATATACCTTTACTATACCTAGGCTCGTCACCCGGAGGCCGTTGGCCGCCCGAATGCGATCCATCTGGGAAGCATCGCCAGCAACCTGCACCACACAAAGCTTACCTCTGGTAAGCAGGGAATGGAGGAATATGGAAACTACTATATGCTTGGGGATTACAGTCGGACCTCTACAAGGATCCATGGCTTGGTTCCTTGCTGACCAGAACTAAGACAAATAAGAGACATGGACGTACAACGAAATTCAGTGGCAAATGAATATCTTAGCATCTGTATTCTATGGGATGCTCGACCGACAAGGGCCTTGGAGGACTCGTACTTGGCCACCAGCTCAACATTCGCAGGCTTTGCCTTCACATGCCGTCCTGGCAATGTGTCCACATAGCACTACTTGGCACTACTATGCGTGTTTCAAGACTTGTGACAAAAGTGAAGTCCATCAGAGAGCGTGATGTCGTATCTTAAATTCTCCACCTCAAAGGCCAGGCGCAGAACTTGAGGCATTGCTTTTGCCTCTGCTCCTCAAGTCTTTACTTAAGAGTCTAAGTGTAGCGCATCAAGCCGCCCGCACTCGCCGATGCAGTCCTCATCTGCATTCCCCTATTAGAACAAGTTGCCTTTCACCTCTGCCAGCTTGAATGCATAATATAGGGGCCTAAATAATTGCCAATATTCTAGTGTAGCATAGCATAGTATATTATAGTAGTATATTAGAGTATATTATAGCATATTGCATGAGCCAAGTTGCATTCAGCTCAATGGAATCCAGGCCGCGGAGCTTAACAATGCAGCCGGTCATAACCTGGCTTGGGATTGCAGTCGAATCGTGGTCTACCCCAAGAAAAGAGAACAAGAAAACCAGAGTTTCTATGAGCTCGGGTTTCCACACGCAATTGCGCAAGTGCCGTTGCTGGCACTCTCGACAGCCCAGCTACAGTGCCAGGCACTGCCCAGGTGTTCTCCCCAAACTGCCCGCAGATCATGCTTGCGAGGCAGCTCAAGTCAAATCGAGGCCAACAATCTCAGAGACAGCTGGAATCATCAGACAAGCCAGCAGCATTTAATCCTTTCAAGAAAATCTCGACAACCCCTTCGGGGTGATGTCAAAGGAAAGGCGTCATCAAAACTTAGAAAACAAGCTTTATGTACCGCGCAACATACTCACTCGTGCCAAGCGCACAACGCGACTTGACAGCTCATGAGCAAACCGCAGGCATAGGCCTCTCATCTATCTCGCCGCTTGCATACTGGGCGAAACGAGGCCGCTCTCTCTTGTGTGCCAAGGCATCTGATTGCCATGGCCAACCTCCAAAACCCGTAGACTGGTAGTCTCGGAAAGCTTTGGAAATATCCTCGCGACTGTTCCCCACAAAGGGTCCATGTTGAACCACTGGTTCACCGATATCTCGGCCCTGAAGCACAAGCACCTCAATGGGCCCCTCATCGGTAGCTGCAATCTCCGTGTCTGCATCCGGGCGCAGCTTCAATCGCTTCTGGCCATGGATGATCTGGCCACCAATTTTGCTCTTTTTGCCTGTGTGGATGTAGGCGTTTCTGTTCAGTCCTGACACTCCGCCAGCTCCGTCATATGCGGGCAGCGTCCAGGAGCCCTTCGCTGGGATTTTCAAAGTCAAGACCATGACATCCGAGGCAGGATCAGAGGCATAGGAGTTGGGTGGTGGCGTTGGTGGGGAGTTGAACCCAGGCAGGCTGCCTGCGATCAACGCAATCTCGGTTCCATCTGCTTGCTGCACGTTCCCCAAGTCCTCTGCCCAGAACATCTTGAATCCTGGCGGGGGATCTCCGAAAAGTCTAACAGAACTACAGAGGAGGATTGTTGAACATGATCTAGGGTTATGTCATAGTAGCGTTCCATGGAATTAGAAAGTGAGACTCTGGAGCTTTCTGGAAAAAGGCTTTGAAGCTCTGTGCCTGGCTCAGCCATCTTGCTCCGCCTGCTTCTGCCCAAATCAGGGGTATCTTTATGGGGTGATATGGGGGGCTATATATGCGCCAGCATCCACCACCCCCCCCCCGTGGCCTGTGGTCTGGGTTATGTTCTGTAGTTCAAACCAAGGTTTAGAGAATGGGTCTTGTCCTGTGGCTCAAAGAAGGGTTGAAAGAAAGTTTATTGTATTTGTAGAGGGTTCGTAACCCCCCTCCTGTGGTGCTGGCCTGTGGTCTGGATCTTGTGGTCTAAATC